TTTTTTGTAAACATCCGCTTATTATGAAACTGATGCCAGCAACAGGTTCCAAAAAAGTTGGGACCAGACTCGAAATGTTGTGAAGTGTTCAATAAACATCTTGAACAGGCGGTGCAAATTTAGGTATAGAGCAGGGGTCGCAACCCAAATGTGAAGAAAAGCCATTTTGTCCTTTCAATATAAGTCAAATCACCCTGGGAGCCACAACATTTTATGTCCTTTTTACCATCTTGGCTGTAAATATGTCCCCGTATGTGCTGATGTACCAGTATAGGCTAAAAAATATAAGGGTCAGTCTACAGAAACGTCCACTTTTCTATCTATCCGTAGGAGTGACTGGTGTTACTGATCCTCATTGGTGTTACACATAAGAAAGGGAACACCAGAGACGGTAATAATAATCAATGGAAAATGTATTCAGTCATGGAATATCCACTAAAATATGTAATTTAATCCATTTAAATTCTATTTTTTCACAGTTACCTCAGAATAAAGTCGGTCACACCAGTGACTTCAGCTAAAAGCTTCATATGAAATCATGAGCTGAATGAGAAAATCTCTGATAACTGAAAGACACAGTGGACTCACCATGTGCTTTTCTTCATAGATCCTCAGAAAACAGGTAAAAGGAAGTCGAGTGATGTCATCAGTGTGGCTTTTATTTCAAAATAAGAGACTTTTTGTTGCGCAGTAACACCAGTGACACGACTCCTGGGGACTTTCATTGTATATTTTATAATATTTATTTGGCATTTGTTTTCTTTATGTCATTTAATTAATATATTCCATAGTCATGTATAGATTATTGTAGTTAAAATTGCAGAAAAATGTGTTTTTACTTCAGCCTTTACATGACTGTGGGGACGAGCTCCTCTGTGGTGCTTGGAATTCTAGATAATTGATTTAAAAAACAATATTGCTGGATTGATGGCTGAAGAAGGTGTAATTGTTAAAATAACGTATTGTTTTATTTTAAAATAAAAATGAATTGTAAACATAACATGTTTTTTTAAGTGTAATATATATGTAAATGCTAGGGACACAACAATGGATGTTTCTGTAGAATGACCCACAAACAAAAACACAGACTTACTTTGCTCTGCTTCAAGCTTTAGCTCAGCTATAGCCGCTTTTCTCACATCTCTAGCAGGAAACTTTTCCACAAAAGTAGAACAGTTTCTTGTAAAACGTCTCACAACATTGGATTCTTTACGAGGCTGAAGTCGCTTCTCATTCGACCAGCTTTTTGTTTAAATTTCCTCGTTCTACCCTAAATGGTGCCTGAGGCGCCAGAATGTAACTACTGACGTCAAATTTTGGAATGAGCGTAAATGAAAAAAAACAAGACTCAGCCTGGACTAATGTTTTTGAACAATACAGGTCAGCCAATCAGAAGAGAGGTCATTTACATAAATTCCTGTTTAATTTTGAAAAATGGTCATATAAAAAATGAATTTAAATTTAAATTCAATAAAGCGTTTTTTAATGGTTATGGTGTACTTTTTGTACCTTCAGCAGCAAGCAGGGTGTTCTTGACGAACATCTCCAGCTCTTCTGCTCTTTTTCGGCTCCTCTCAGCGTCGGCATCCGTCTGTTCTCCATCTGCTGACACTTTTGTGGCCTGTAGAGTGAAGAGAAAACGGAAAATCCACTGGATTATTCACTTGTTATAATTTAATTTGAATTAAACATGTATTCGTGTTAAACAGCTTAATCAGAAATGTACTTAATGATGCTGGTGAACTCTACAGCTTGTACACCCACATAGGACATGTGTGTAAGAAAGGTAAACCATATGGTTCCCCCAGACCTCTACGGCACAGAGCATATCTAAGTAACAGAACTCTGGAGGTGTTGTGGTGAAGACTGGGTCACAGTAGATCACAGTTATGGTTGTATTTACCGTATTTTATTTATAGAGCACCTTTCATGCACGTAGAAGCTCAAAGTGCTTTACAGTGTGGTCATAAGTATAGTGGAAAAAATGTGCTATTATCAAATGTAACATCACGAGCAGGAAATTTTTCAACCTGATTCTGCTGTTGGAGTGAATATAAACAATTTATATAGTCAAACCAAGTCAATATGATTCAACTGTTTGTGTGCTGCTTTCTACAAAAAATACTGCCCCAATGCAGAAGGTCTAGAAGTGTGGGTGCAGCACCCTAATGAGCAAAACTCCCCAAGAGCATGAGGAAGAACCACAGAGGAACCAAGACTCAAAAGGATAAATTCTCAAAGAACATGAGGAAGAACCAGTGAGACAGACCAAGACGCAGAGGCAGAAACTCCCTAAGAACATGAGGAAGAACCACTGTGAAGAAGCAAGACTCAGAAAAAGAAACTCTCTAAGAGAATGAAGGAGAACTGAGGAACCAAGACTCAGAAGGAGAACATCTCTAAGAGCATGAGGAAGAACCACTGAGGAACCAAGACTCAGATGAAGAAAATCTAAAAAAATGTAGATGAACTGAGAGGAACCAAGACTCAAAAGGAGAAACTCTCTAAGAGAATGAAAAAGAACCGGTGAATCAAGATTCAGGAAGAGAAAATCTCTAAGAACATGAGGAAGAACCTCTGAAAGGGACCAAGACTCAAAAGGGGAATCTCCCTAAGAGCAGGAGAAAGAACCCCTGAGGGACCAAAACTCAGACAAAGAAACTCTCCAAGAAAATGAAGAAGAACTGAAAGGAACCAAGACTGAGAAGAAGAACCCCCTAAGAACATGAGGATAAACCACTGAGGAACAAAGACTCAGATGAAGAAACTCTAAAAAAAATGAAGATGAACTGAGAGGAACCGAAACTCATAAGGAGAAAATCTCTAAGAACATGAGGAAGAACCTCAGAGAGGAACCCAGACTCTTTAAGAGAATGAAGAAGAACCGAGGAACCATGACTCAGATGGAGAAAATCTCTAAGAACATGAGGAAGAACCTCTGAAAGGGAGCAAGACTCAGAAGAAGAACCCCCTAAGAACATGAGGAATCACCACAGAGAGGAATCAAAATTTTAAACATTTTAAACTGAGACGCTCTGTTTTTCCATCATCTTAAAGCCCACGTCTCCTTAAAGGTAAACTTTCTCAGCTGTCCACATTTCAGTTGAACTCTCTGAATTACGAAGGTCATCTCAGCTGTAGTGATGCACACTTCAGTACGCCTTCAGCACTGGAACTGAGCGGCTATCATCAGGACAAAAAGGAGTCCTGGACACAAACCGCCGCCTCTTACCGGAGAAGCTCAAATCAAGGTAATTTTGACATTTTCTTCTGTGTTTGTTCCTTTCAGTAAAACCCCACCAAGGCCAGAGTCTCACAGAGAACTTACACAACAGATGGCACAGAGTTTTACCAGAGGAGGCCGTCCATGAAGAGCATAAAAAGGAACGACACAGGTATTGAAGGCCGGTACGACATCTGAGCTGCATTTCATAACTGTGAAAAGGCAGCTGGTGGACAAGGTCAGTTCATAACTTTAACCTGAGAAGTTAACGAGTCACTTAATTCTTTTGGTAACACTTTCTATGAATGTCACCTTTGTAAGTATCTAAAAACACATTCATAACATGTTATAATGCATTCATAAGGCATTATAAACATGGCTATAAATATTTCTAAAAATGCATTATACATTATAGCCATGTTTATTATGCATTATAAATTGTTAACATAATACATTATAAGTACTGATCATAACAAATTATAAGAGCTCATAAGTGGTATTTGTCTGCTCTAAGTAAAGTGAAGCGTACTGTACTAAAGCCTCCTCCAGTGTTCAGAGTGAGGCTTCAAGTTGAAGTATTTACTGAAGGATTTACTGAAACACTAAAACATTCACAGTAAAGCACATTACAGGCTTCAAATGTCAGAGTTTAAACTAGAGCTGCCATCAGTGTTTTACCCAATGTGGGAAAGGTAATGTACACCACCGTTAGCTTGGTATTTGTCTTTACTTTACGCTGTCCAAGCTGGGACTGACTTCTTTGGCACTGACATTATAACATGTTATTAACACTATTTATAATGCATTACATTAACAATCCATAATGTATAATAAACATGGCTATAAAGTGTAATTCAGTGTAATTCTTTTTTATAAATATTTATAACCATGTTTATAATGCCTTATGAATACATTATAACATGTTATAAATGTGTTTATAGATGCTTACAAAGGTGACATTCATAGAAAGTGTTACCCTTTTTTTTTCTGCTTATGCAAAAGTTTGGTCTGTCTTAGCATTTAAAAGATCAGACACAGAGACAGCGACGTAAGGTTAAAAATAAAAACGAATCAAGTTCTACATATTAATGATGCAAAAAATAAAGTTAAAATGTTTAAATTGTTTGTGTAAAAATTTCTCCTGGTGTTACTATAAAAGATGGCATTGATAGAGACCTAAACATAGAGGCGGACCTTATTTTTGAGCCTGTGTGTTTGATGTTAAAGATGTACAAAGATAAAAGATGTACGTAAAAAGATGTACGACGTCAACTCGACGCCTCTGACTTTTAAACGATTATTTCAGGCTTTACAGGGCGACTCGCAGCGGCACCCACTGACCATGTTAGCATCTTCTTTCCTTCCGCTGGATCAATAATGCTACTTCTTTCAATTTTAACTAAAAAAATACATTATGCAGGCATGATTTGGGGCCTAATTTCTGGTTGGTGGTCCTCAACAGGTCTGTTAAGAGTATCTCTGAAATGTGTGTGTATAAAAACAGTGTGTTCATGTGTGTTTATCACAAACCCTGTTCAGTAATTCGTCCATCTCAGTGACCAGGCTGCCCAGGTTGCTATCAGCGAGCTGCAACAGTCTCTCTGGCGCCCTCTGTGGTGAAAGCATGTGCTGCAAGGAGGGAGAGAGAGAGGAAAAGAGAATAAGGGGAGGTTCTCACTGTATTTTACTGAAGGCTGAAAAACGTGAGGTGCACTGCACGGCCTTTGTTTTTTTCTTGGTGTGTTCACACTGCGTATTTTGCATGGTGCTTTTGGCTGCACATTTTCCTGTTGCTAAGCAACAACAGGTGGGAGGATCTGTTAAAGGGCCTATATTGTGAATTTGCCCTGCGGTCATAATTTTTCCTCATAATTTATTTCATGGTAATTTTCCAACCTCTCTCTATCACTCAGAATTAAACAGGCTGTTTTCATTACCGTGCCTGTAAGACTGACATATGTAAATGAGCACTGTTTTGATTGGCTGCTCTGTACTGCACCTCATTCAACAAGCAGTCTGGGCTGAAACACCCCTTATAACATAAACAGTGTATCTCTCTTTAAAAGGAGCAGAAAATTAGCACCTCGGTGACAAACAGTGTGTACAGTGTGAACCCCTTAAAGTGAAAGTTTGCTCAACAACCCAACTCCCAACACAAATATAGTCAATCAGCCGAGACGTGTTTGGTGCTTGAAGTTTGCTTCTTTAGTTTTAGCACTAGACCTACGAGGCTAATGTAGCTAACAAGTAATTAAGGCTTATGTTAGCATTTGGCATGGTGCTAAATTCATGCATCAGTCATCAATTGCCTTAAACCTGTACTGAGTTGTTTAGTATCTCTAATATTTGATTATATGGTTTTGGAGCCCATGTGATTCACAGTTATCTATAAACATGGACTAAATGGGTCATTGAAGCTCATTTGAGCCCCAGTATTTGCCCTGTTTATTAGAAAAACCCTGGTTTATTTGGTTAAATTGGCTATTTTAAGCTCATTCGAGTCCCAGTATTTGCCAAGTTCATTAGAAAAACCCTAATTCAGGCTTGAAGAAGATGTGCATAAACTTTGGTTACTAGTCAGCTACATTAGCCTCGTAGTTCCACTTTAAAAGTAAAGAAGTAAACTTCAAACACCAAACATCTCTTGGCTGAGTGTCTACGTTTGGGGTAAAGTGTGTGTGTGGGTGAGAAAGTCGCGAAGGTGAGAAAGTCTCTGGTCGAAGCTTATAAAGGTAGATTACAGTGCCACTGTCTTTGCTTCCAGGCTTTTTTTGTCTATGATAGTTTTGGATTGCACAGCAAATTCTCACTTTGAAGACAGTTTCTCAAAGGAAACGCATTTTATACGCTTAGCACAGAAACACGCAGCCACCCTGAGGTCAGGTTCTCAAAGGAGGGAGAGGAAAGCAGAACATTTATACTGTAACAGACGACATGGACGCATACACACACTCACATACACACACACTTAAATCTAACTTTATACTGCAAACTCAGACACACACAGTACAGTGCAGAGTCAGAGACCACCTTTCATTTATCAATTTCCAGTCGGGACAACTATTAAATACAAGTTAGTCATTTTCAGTGTCAGGAAAAAAGCAGAAAATTAAATGTAACATTTAAACCTAAATCTAATATAATAAGTCTTAGAATCCCAAGCACTCTGGCGTGGTCAGTTGTTTCGGCCAATTCTTACATTTTTACTGCATATATTATGTCACTAAAATAAGGAATTACCAGTAACAACACACTTGCTGCTAAAACAAATAGTTCTATACAATTTTCATGGTTACCTAAGACTTTTGCACAGTACTGTATGAGTATGAGTATGAGTATAGTACTACACCTACATTTACACTTAGCCTCAGTATCCAAAAAGGTAATTTGTGGTGAAAACAACACAAGTGAGGACCAGAAAAATGTCCTAAAATTGTCCTATCATTGTGGGGACATAGGGTCCTCACAAGTATAACAAGACAAGATCATACACACACACACACACTTACCTTGAGTTCCTCGGTCATGTTCTCGAAGCGGTAGAGCACTTTGTAAGGTGGAGGCAGCGGCAGAGTGAGATTGGCGCTGCTGATCAAACGCAGCAGTTTATCCATATCTCTAATTAGGAGACCAGCGCAGTCATCATCACACGCTGTAACACACACACACACACACACACACACACAAGTTATGATAGGACACGTTTTAATTACCCCGTTGTGATAAGCTCACAATGTATGTGCATGTTTGTACTCTTTTACTGTCTTTGTAGGGACCCAAAGTCCCCACATTGGTAGGAAAAAGTCACAGTCCTGACAAAGTGGGGACATTTGATTGTATTAGCCATATTTTCATTCCATAACACATAAATCAATGGACACCCCCTCCAAAAAAATAAAATAAAATACATAGCAAACATGTCAGCATGTGTTCATAAGTACTGTATCACTTTGTGAGGACAAAATGGACCAAGTGGGGACATTTTGCCATAGTGCTGCAATGCAGTCTTATTTAGGTACCTTAACACACAAATCAGTGGAAGCCCCCACCAGAAAGACAGCTAGCATGTCTGATTCCGTTTAACCTGTTGTAATCTCACTATGGGGACCAATGGTCCACATCATAATAGGAACACTTTCTTACAAAGTGGGGACATTTTGCTGCAATTAAGCCACATTTACATACTATGACACATAGACCAGTGGACCCCCCCATCCGGGAAATGCACAAGTGTGAGCATGTATGTCAACAGTTTAGCTTTTTTTAATTAATTTAGCAGTATTTAGATGCCATAAAACAGATCAGTAGATAAACTCAAGTGTGAAGTGTATTTGTGTGTGTATTAATCACTTTGTGGGGACCTAATCGAGCCCAGTCTATTAGAAACATGAATATGAAGTGGTTATGGGGACACCATGGTCTGTGAGGAAAAACTGTTTGTTTTTTCCCCAAAAACTGCAGTTTTTATTAGAAAAAGTAAAAGCGACCAAAGCTGATCTTTTGTTTGCTGATGTTAAAGTTTGCAAAACCAGTGAAAAACTAGGATAACATTCAAAACCAAAAAATGTTTATTAAAGGTAATTGTTTCAAAAATGTTTTTGGACACCTGAGGTTAAGATCAGGGTGAGGTTTAGTGTTAAAAAGTAAAACTGGAAAATTCTTATTACAAGTCGTCGCTGTGCAAAGAAAAACATCTCTAATTTTTGTGATTTTTACTTTTACATCATTTGAGCACGGCAGTTCTTTACGTTGTGTGAAAATCTCATGATGAATGGACCAATAGAAATGCTCCAAAGCTGTTTAGAATAAAATCGCTTTCCATTAACTTACATTAAAGGATAGACACTGGAAGATGAATTCGAGTGCGTGAACAACTTACATTTTAAACAAGCTCTGCTTTAACGGCTTCGTTTTCCGTCATTTTTGTTCTGCTGTTTTGTTTTAATTTGTGTTGTTTGTGCGCAGAGAACTGTGGGTAACCAAAGGCCTGGATAGAAACATCAGTTGCGTCCTTGAAATCACTCAGAACGTAGACTGCATTTCTAGGCTGTATACAAAGGGAGCTTCACTTTGGAACGGACTGCTATGACGTATGCAGCCTAGGCTTTGGAACGCAGGTACAGATAATCGTGACTACTAGTTTGTGAATCATTTCAACTCATTCACTGTCCTCATCCACCTTAAAGAACCTGCTTTATTTCCAGTGGCAGACGGTAACGAAGTAAATGTAAGTCGTTGCTGTACTTAAGTAGTTTTTCGTGTATCTGTACTTTACTGAAGTTTTTCCATTTTGGGCGACTTTTTACTTTCACTCCACTACATTTCAAAGTCTAATATCTCACTTTTTACTCCACTACATAATGCGAAATCTGTTGTTCCGTCTATTCAACATAAATGATGAACTAACCTAACTTTGTGTAAATAGACCACAATATAGAAATATGTACTCATATGCAGTTGTGACTGACGTGTCTTTATTCTGAATTTATACAAACACATTTCATTTTATAGTAAATTAGTTTAGGCTAGTTTATGTTTATGAACAGAGACCTACAGATGCAGTTTAGTAAAGGAAACTCATTTGTGAATCTGAGTTTAAAGTTTTTATTGAACTTAAATTTGTAACTAAGTTGCAAATAAATCTTAAACTGAAACTTTACTTGTTTGTAAAAAGTGATTTCAGAGCCACTCAGTTCTACCTGATGGAAACTGTTTGCCTTCAGTGTTTTGTGCTTATGATAATTTTAATAGACATCAGCGTCACTAATTAATGACATTCTATTAAAATACTGGTTTACCAAGAGTGACACTGAGTATTTTCACCTAAACTGAGTTAATGAAGCGAGTCTTGTTATAAAAATGATAATAGGACATTAAAGTCATAATTAATCTTTTAGTACTTTTACTTTCGATACTTAAGTACATTTGAGGGTAAATACTTTTGTACTTTTACTCAAGTGGAGGTCTAAAGGGAGGAACTTCTACTTTTACTGGAGTAATATTTTACCCTGGGTGTCTCTACTTTAACTCAAGTACGTGATTTGTGTACTTCGTCCACCTCTGATCATTTCTAACAAACAAATTACTTATAAATTTGTACAAAAAGCAATCAGGAAAAAAGGGTCGCACAGTCTGTTAAGCTGCTAATGTGCATTTTATGTAATGCATTCTCATTTTTTATGAATATGAATAAATCTATGAATAAACCGTGTACAGGGCAGTGAAACTTATGATGTGTGATGGTTCTGAAGCTCTAGCCCGAATGTGATGCCTGATAAGGTTCCTTTTGGGTTAGGCAGTGACTGGTTAGGCCGCCTCCTGAATGGAACGCCCCACACGTGTGTGAGGAAGTGGAGGTTAGGCTGAACATGAAAAGACGGCCGTGTTAACACGCAGTGAGAGGGAAGAGCCTGGGGTGAGAGAGGGATGCTGTAAACCAGCGTCACCTCTCTCTCTCCTCTCTCCTCACTCTGTTTGCTCGGTTACGCTCGTCCAATTTCCCTCCTTCATTTCCGTTCACTCGCTCCGAGCAATCGCTCCGGGCAAAACTGCACCTCAGGGCAAACACACACACACACACACACACACACTCGTCCCCCCGGAGCCCCTCAGACACACACAATACAACATAACAGCACTTGCTTTTCCCTCTGTCCCCTCACTCACTCCTTTCATCTTTCATTCCCTCCTTCTTTCAGTGTCATTCCGTTTCCTTCGCTGTCTCTCTTTTCCTTTCCATTTCTCCACCTTTCTTTCTCCCTTTCTCTTTCTGACTCCTTTCTCTCTCCTTCTCACCATCTTTTTTTCTTATTCCCTTGATATTTCTCTCTCTCTCTCTCTCTCTCTTGCCCTGCCTCCTCTCTATCTCTATCCTTTTCTCTTTCTCTTTTTCTTTTATCTCATTCGCTCCTTCTTTTCTTTCTGTCTCTTTCTTATTTCTTTGAACTCTTTCTTTCTGTCTCACTCTTTCTCTCTCTATCTGTCTCTCTGTCACTCACTCTTTTGCACTGCTCACTCTCATCATATTTTTTTCTCATTTCCCTCTTGCTCCCTCTTTTCCTTCTCTCTTTTTGTCTTATTTCTTTGACTTCTTTTTTTCTCTCTCTTTCTCTCTCTCTCTCTTTCTGTCTTCCTCTCTACCTCTGTACCTCTCTCTCTTTCTGTCTTCCTCTCTGCCTCTCTCCCTCTCTGTATCTCCCTCTCTCTCTCTTTCTTCTCTCTCTCTCTCTCTCTCTCTCTGTATCTCTCTCCCTCTCTCTCTGTCTGTATCTCCCACCCCCTCTCTCTCTCTCTCTCTCTCTCTCTCTCTCTCTCTCTCTCTGATTAGAGTGAGTGGTGGAGTGTCGGAGGGGAAAGACTTTCTGAAGCGTGAAATTCAGAACAGAGTGTAACGCCTTCAGGCCGACTATTATGAGTGTTTGACATGCCACGAGCTACGGAGGGAATGAGAAAAAGAGAAAAGGAGCAGAAAAAAAAGAGTAGAGGAAAGAGAGAGTCAGCAGCGACAAGCTGACTGTTTGTTCTGCGCTGACGAGAATTTGTACCCAATTTCACCGTGTGCACTATTAGAGCTTTGTGAAGGAAATTCAAAGAGCTTTAGATTAGCTTCTCCAGCTATACGTCCTTTTTACTTTAAGCAAAGAATAAAGAATAAACACAAAAACAGCCACTTCCAGTCAGAGTCAGAGTGAAGCTCGCAGACTCGAGTACTTTATCTGAGGAGTTCGGCCCTGGAGTGTTTAACAAGGCACTGTAATATTAAAACGAACCTCCAATGAAAACAGGTGGGTTTTAGCAGGTCAGTGGAAACGGCAGCACATTTACACCTGGCCACTTTATCGGAAACCCCTCCCCTGTACTCCACCATGCTGGTGTACAGTTACAGAATGTAGCTCATCTCTTAAAGCTGCAATTTATGCGATTTTTACTGGACATCTGTGTATCGTGTTGCAGAGACATCTACTGAATTTAGCATGCCAGCCAGCTAGCACTGGCCTTTAGTACCAACAAAGGTTCAAATCAACAAAAGAAGTACTATTCAGCTTCACAGAATGTCATAGTTCAGATTTCTTTACAGTGGTGGTGATAGGAACCAGGCGTCGCCATGACTACAACACAAATATAGACATTTTATTTACTATCAAAACCACCAGTGAACCTACACGAGTCTTCTGAGTTTATATGGAATGTTGATGATGGAAAATAGTGGAAAATCTGATTGGGGAATGTTTTGTCTTACAATGCCTTGCCTGTACTTTTCTGCTATAATTTATTTTTTTTTAATTGAATTTAATTTAAAATTTTACAAAAATGTTTTACCATCATACAATTCTGTTTAACAGCAATAAGGAAAAGTTCAATTCCTGAAGAAAATGTGAAATGCAGCTTAAGCAACGTCCAGATTGTTGCTATGGTGTTGTTGGGTGGTTATATGGTATCCTGGATGGTTGCTAGGGTTTTGTTGGGTGATTATATGGTATCCTGGGTGGTTGCTAGGGTTTTGTTGAGTGGTTATATGGTATCGCAGGTGGTTGCTAGGGTATTGCTTGGTCGTTGTATGGTATCTTGGGTGGTTGCTATGGTGTTGTTGGGTGGTTTTATGGTATCCCAGGTGGTTGCTACGGTTTTGTTGGGTGGTTATATGGTATCCCGAGGTGGTTGCTAGGGTGTTGCTTGGTGGTTGTATGGTATCCCGGGTGGTTGCTAAGGTGTTACTGGGTGGTTATATCGTATCCTGGGTGGTTGCTAGGGTTTTTTTGTGGTGGTTATATGGTATCTTGGGTGGTTGCTTTGATATCCTGGGTGGTTGCTATGGTGTTGTTGGGTGGTTATATGTTATCCCGGGTGGTTGCTACGGTTTTGTTGGGTGGTTATATGATATCCCTTGTAGTTGCTTGGGGTTTGCTAGGTGGTTGCTATGGTATGAGAAGTGGTTGCTAGGTGGTCCAAAGCAATTGCGATGGTATCCCATGAGAATGCTAGTGTACTGGTGTCATGGTGACAAGAGGGATGCACAAGCTTACGCCCACAATGTTCCACCATTCATTCCTTTTGTGGGGGAAAAAGTCATCATTTAATGATTGTATAAAAACCATACATCTGATCAAAATAGCTGCAAACAAGCACACCATGCTGGTGTGTGCCGTGAGCTGTGCATCATGTGGAAGGAGCTTTTCTTGCTTGCGTCGATTTAAAACCTATATGAGAAACAATACGAGTCAGGAGAGACTGTCTGACACTGCAGTGCTGAATACTGAACAGGCCATTCGTGTGGACTTGGAAAAAACAGTCATTGAATTTGATGCCATGCCTGGTGGGCGCCATCTTGCACTTCACCAAGGTGAGACATCATTTACTGTAATAAATATAGGTTATTTATTAAATATAGGTTTTTTTCTTCAGAGAAATGTTCGTTATTTTATATTTAGGTTATTTTATTTTACTGTTGACTAAGATGGCGTCTGACGTATGTCTCAAAAGTCCCCCATGCCTGTAGTGTATAATGGTGTATAATGACACACTGAGTGTTTCAAAGTGAAGCAAAGAGCTGAATGCATGTGTGGCTACAGAACAATGAGCCATGATGAAATGGGCTGAAATTTACCAAATACAAGACTCTTTCACTCCCACACGTTTACATGAAGACATAACACTCCACAGCTGTTAGTATGAGGCACCACCCAGGACCCCTTAATCCATCTTAACCCACTAACGTCCACATCTGAACTTTTAGTCCATGAGTTCTCTGAGCAAATCTATTGAGAATTTTCAGATTGGTCAAACAGTGAGATTATAGTTCTTAAATTCAGTCTTTTGGTCACATGACTACTAATTTTGAACAAAACAATGATCTGACTGTGAATAAAATAGGTCCTAGGTTTTCCTAGGTCAGGGGTCACAACCCAACTGTTCAGAAGAGCCATTTTGTCCTTTCAACAACAATAAACCACTTTGACAGCCACAAATATTTAATGTCCATTTTACCATCTTGGCTGTAAATACGTCTCAGTATGTGCTGATGTGCTGGTATAGACTAAAAATATGGATTGAAAGCTGTTTTTCTGTTGTAAAATCACTGTAATGTGCGCCTTATTGCTTTAAAATGTACTAGTATAGACTAGTATAGACTAAAAAATATGGATTGAAAGCCGTTTTTCTGTTGTAAAATCTTTAAGCTTTAAGCTTCAGCTCAGCTAGAGCTGCTTTTCTCACATCTCCAGCAGGAAACTTTTCCTCAAAAGTAGAACAGTTTCTTGTAAAACGTCTCTCAACGTTTGACTTTTTTACGAGGCTGAAGTCGCTTCTCATTCTCCAGCTACTTTTTTCACTTACAGCTTAGAATTGTCCTGTTCCACCTTAAATGGTGCCTGAGGTGCCAGAATGTAACTGCTGCACCATTTAAGGTGGAATGGGAGAATTCGAACAATGGACTATGCTTGTTTTGGGCATTTTTCCTCAACATACCTTTCAGATGTTGGACATGAATGGGTTAAAGCAGCGATGATGCTCCCTCACCTGAAGCTGCACTGCTGTTACATACAGCAGGTCACTTAAAAGAGCACCACATGCATGACGTGGACAAAAAAGACCAGCGAAATGATCTCTGCCACAGCACACACCAGGAGAGGTCATTAAACGATGAAAGCTGTTTCAGGTTTGTATGTTAAACAGCACAATTCACATGCGGGTCACTTACAATTAAAGCAGCTCTTTAATTCACATAACTGACTCAACACGAGATTAGCACTCGAGAAGGTAAGATGGCATCTAAAGTATGAATGAAATGTGTTCTGATGAGTAGATACAGCACTGGGCAAAGGTTTTAGGCACCAGAGACAATTATGTAAATATTAATTTAAAGCCATTAAGTAAAAGTTATTGTAATCCTTTTCATCATCAAGAAAAAAATATATACATATTTAAAAAATTACACCTTAACATCTAACATCTAAATCTAATCTCAGCTGTGTGAGTCAGTGAGTCACTCTCCACCTTTATTCCAGCTTCCATTCTTTTCAGGAGCCTCACTTTCGGTTCCTCAAAGAATCTGCAGACACACCTCCAAAGTTCAGTCTGAGAAGCTGGTTGATCATTTTCTGAAGTAATCAAACTCATTCAGTGGTGTTGAGGTCTGGACTCTGGGGTGGTCAGTCTATTGTTCAGCTTCTTTGTTTGATGTGTCCGTCTCCTTTTCTCAGTGAGGTTCTTCTTGATCAGCTACACATCCTTTCAGACCCACAGCGCTGAGTCGTCTTCTCACAGTGGAAGGATGGACAGAAACACCTGTGGATGTTTTCAGATCTGAAGCAGCTTGATTTTCTCCTCTCTCTCAGAGATGAAAGCTTTAAGTGCTGTTTATCTGATGGGGGCAGTTTTAGGGTCGACCAGCTCTTCCAGGTGGTTGTTAGGAGTCACATTTTCTCTGTAGCTTTCAATCATTTTGTTTAACTTACTTAAAATAACTTGTACTTAATGGCTGTCTTTGATGTCTCTGACTTTTGTATAGTACTGTATATATATATATATATATATATATATATATATATATATATATATGAGATATATATATTTCTGTGGGGGTTTGATGTTTAAACAGTTAGTCCTGTTATTGAACTCCATACATACACACGATGCCTGCAGGTCCACACACATGCCTCTCCATGCAGTGGTCACACTTCAGTCCAGTCGCTCCCGGTCTGCACTGACACTGCCCCGTGCGTGTGTCACACGGGACTGGCCACGCGCCGACCGCATCACACTTACACTCCTCGCATCGTCCGCCCACCACCTGCGGGTCGCCATGGAAACCAGCCGCACACCTGCAACAGTGGTAGTTTATTGAACAATTAGTTTAATGGAGTTTCTGGCTGACCATCTCAGATTTCACCAGTCTCAAAAAAGTGCTTTTTTATTTTTTCTGCATCGTTTAGCTGTGTGAATTTCATGACGAATGAACTTATAGACAGGTGACTATATGGTCACTGGTCTACAGCAGTTAGTCCAGTCTAACTGGACTACATTTCTGTATGGAAGAGTTGCTTATTGTCATTATTAATAGCAAATTCAAACAATGTATTTATTAATGTTTTAAAGCAATAAGGCGCACATTACAGTGATTTTACAACAGAAAAACAGCTTTCAATCCATTAACACCCCTGACACTGATCATAATCAGATTTCTGCTGTTATCTGACTATTCACTTGGTCATCTAAACAGCACACTCAGATTTCTTAGATGGGAGTAAGGTCTAGAAATCCGATTAAGAAATCTGATAAAGAGGCTGGATTTTAGCTGAGTAGTCAGATTTCTCAGTGCATGTAGACTCTTACTCTGATTTCTTTCGGATTTCTCAGTCTGCGTTTCTCAGTCTGGTTACCCAAGTGTGTGTAAACATGTCAATTGGATTACTGCCAAAATCTGACTTTTGCAGTTATCAGATTATTAAGAGCATGTTAACGCACTCACTGTTAGCAAAAAGGGTTTTAAATAGTTATTTTTCAAAAAGGTGCTATATTAAAACAAAAATGTAAACAAGTAAAGAACCACTGATGTGAGTGTCCATGGTTGTGTATATAAGCATTGCCTTTGCTGAAGAACCCTTGAGGAACCATTTTTAAGGGAGTACTCATTATAAGTGGTCTTATTGCTTTAAAAATCCAGCAGCGTTAGTTTGATGGTTTCGTACCTTTCGCAGTATTTTCCCTCGTAACCTTCAGGACAGGCAGTACAGCGATAATCACTGAAGCCCTCCGCCACACAGGTGGGACTGAAACTGAGAGAGAGAATAAGATCATAAACAACTGTACGAATATTTATTTATAAAAATTCACTCTCGACACATTTACACTTTTCTTTTTAACGTGGTTCTGTAATTGATTTAGTGTTTTTTTTTATTTTAACCAAACAACTGTGGCTCAAACAGAGTGGGAAGTGTTTAAGGTAAGAATGTTTTGCATATCGTCGCTGTCATAAAGAAAACGTATCTCCATTTTTTGTTGATTTTTTTTTCTTCATCATTTCAACACACCAGCCGTCCTTTACGTTGTAATTTCATGATGAATGGACCAATAGAAACGCTCCCAAATCACTTGCAATAAAACCTCTTTAAATTAACTTACACTGAGAGATAAGAGGGTTTTTGCCTTCTCCTGTAAAGATACTATTTTGGAGATACTTGTTTTTCTTTAGACAGCAACGATTATTAATATTGAATAACAGTTAAATGACACAGTCCTGATATAAAAAATCCTTAAAACTGATAATGAGTATAAAACACTGATCATATGGTGGGCCGGGGGGTATGAGTAGCACGTCCCCCTTAAAGCTGAAATGGAACCTACAGCTCTGCTTGACACAGCCATACAATAACGCTGCCTTAAATGAGAGAGAGAGAGAGAGAGAGAGAGAGAGATGTGGTGTGTACAGACTTGTTCTCTGGGTTGGTCATTGGGCAGGCGCAGGGTTTACAGTCGTCTGGAGACCCTCGTATGACTCCGTAGAACCCAGGAGAACATCTCTCACACTTCTCCCCCTCTGTGTGGTGCTGACAGTTCTACACAGAGAGAAAAGATACAGCAAAAATCCATCATTATATAATAATAATAATAATAATAATAATAATAATAATATAACATAGAACTTGTCATTTTAGATACAATATAAACAACAAGCAAAATTATGGTCACTTAATAACACAGTAATAACACAACAGAGAGAGAGAGAGAGAGAGAGAGAGAGAGAGAGACTGATGTAGAAAAAGAAAAAGAGAGCAATACAGGCCTATAGAAAGAGAGAAAGAGAGAGAGAGAGAGAGAGAGAGAGATCGAGAGAGAGAGAGAGACTGATGTAGAAAAAGAGAGCAAGACGGACAAAAAGAGACAGACTCAAAGGAAAAAGAGAAACAGAGAGGGAGAGAAAAGAAAGATATAGAGAGAGCAAGAGAGAAAGAGAGACTGATGTAGAAAAATGAAAAAGGGAGCAAGACACAAAAAGAGACAGACTCAAAAGAAAGAGAGAGAGAAAGGGAAAGAAGAGAAAGCGAGGGACAGAACGAGAGAGAAAGAGAGACTGATGTAGAAAAAAGAGAGAGACTCAAAGGAGAGAGAAAGAGAGAGGGTGAGAAGAGAAAGAGGGAGAGAGAGAGAGAGCGAGCGAGAGAGATGGAGTGTGTGTTATGGTGTGGGTAATTCTGGGCGTTGGTGTTCTGTGTCACTCAAAGACTTTCATTAACTTTCGGCGTACCTCGATTAACCAAATTAGCCGCCGCCGCGCTCTCGCTCTCCGCTTTCAATTAGAAAAACCCCATAAAATGCAAATGATATTGTTATTAGCGCTCATGCTAATGAAGGTTTAGGCTGGCTGCTCTCTCTGAGCTCAGAGTTTCAGGAGGAGGAAAACTCGGAGCGCTAGTGACAGACGTGTGGATTTGGTCTGATGATAAGGGTGCATCACTGACCTGGAGCAGGAGGAAACAGCGCCCTGCTACTCAGAAGAAGGTAAAACACTGCCTGGCCACTTTATCAGAAACCCCTCCGCCTTGCTTGTGTACAGTTACAGACCACAGCTCATCTGGCGATGTACAGTTCATGCTGTCCTTCCTTTAGTCCTTCACAGAGACACTCTTGGCCAGATTAAGTCTGGTACACTTATGCGACACACACTACAATGCCAGTGTCACTGCTGTGCTGAAAACAGACCACTACCCCGACAATATCTGGACAACAGTGTTCCTGTGGTTCCTATAATGAATGAGGAAGAGGGGGGGCTGATAAACTGCAGCAGCAGAAGGACTACAGTCGTGTGGGTGTTTCTAATAATGTGGCCAGCTGGTGGAAGCAGAAGGTGTGTTTCTAATAAAGTGGCCAGTGAGTGAAAGCACCAAGTGGGTGTTTCTGATAAAGTGGCCAGTGAGTGGAAGCACAAGGTGGGTGTTTCTAATAAAGTGGCCAGTGAGTGAAAGCACAAGGTGGGTGTTTCTAATAAAGTGGCCAGTTTCTGGAAGTACAAGGTAGGTGTTTCTAATAAAGTGGCCAGTTGAGTGGAAGCACAAGGGAGGTGTTTCTAATAAAGTGTCCAGTTACTGAAAGCACAAGGTGGGTGTTTCTAATAAAGTGGCCAGTTACTGAAAGCATAGGGTAGGTGTTTCTAATAAAGTGGCCAGTTACTGAAAGCACAGGGTAGGTGTTTCTAATAAAATGGCCAGTTACTGAAAGCACAGGATAGGTGTTTCTAATAAAGTGGCCAGCAGGTGAAAGCACAAAGTGAGTGTTTCTAATAAAGTGGCCAGTGAGTGAAAGCATAAAGTTGGTGTTTCTAATAAAGTGGCCAGTTACTGAAAGCACAGGATGGGTGTTTCTAATAAAGTGGCCAGTTTCTGAAAGCACTGGGTAGGTGTTTCTAATAAAGTGGAGGAAGGTGTTTCAGTGTTTGAACTGGAGAGCGGAATCACATGTTGGTCCACTCAGAGGGAGCAACCCTTGTGGTGCTGTCCAATCAGATCAGAGCTGTGTGAGAAGTGCAGTCTCACCTGGCAGACGGCGGTCTCGGGGTCGCAGGTGCTGCTGTGGCCGTTACACTGACACCTCACACAGCTGCCAATGCCGGCTCTGGACGCTGGACCACCTGCTCGCACTGACAGCCTGTAGAAGCCTGCAGCACATTCCTACAGCACACACAGCAGAGAGCATCACGTTACTACACTGAAAATAAACTACTGATGGAAAATGATGTGTTCATAAAGTCATCAGACAATTCCTCCTAAAGTTCTGTTAAGCACTGCCGTGAATTTAAGGGGCAGGGGTCTAAAATGATGGGAGACATTTCGAGGGTCACGGGACAGTTGAAGAAAAAGTACATAGCTAAGTTGTAAAAGAGGTATGAGACAGTAATTATCATGGCTGTCAAATATAGTTTAAAACTCTAATTAAAGCCCAAAACTGACTGTTGTTTTGTTTATTTATAGTCGATAATGACAAAAAGAAAGACACACCAACCTGGTTTTTTACTAATAAGCTCCTTTTTTCCTTAATTATCATCATATTTAACATTATTAATGTATTTTTGGAAAGAAAAATGAAGAATTGAGAATCTCTACACTGAATATGTATCATATTCATATTATTATTTTAATTTTGACACATAACTAATAAACTATCAATGTGATAAGTACATAATTCATTTACCTGTTATTCCTGTTTAAGTTGGTGTGTGTGTGCTTCGGCCTCCTGGTGTTACTCTTTACTCTATTTATGTTTCTTTGCATTTATTTTATTGATATCTGATGATTTTGGAATCACACACACACTCATTACAGAGATAAGTGGTTTTAAACATTGTGCTTTCACAGTAGTGTCTCTACAGTTGTATGTAAAAGTTTGTGCACCCCTGGTCAAATGGCAAGAGGTTGTTTTATATGTAATTTTTCCCCAATACATTAAATTCATTAAATAAACAGTAATTGTATACTAAATGTGCAGAAGTGTGTCTCTGTAGAGGATGTGTTCACTTATTCACACTCATAAAATGAACAACACAGAATTTGACCAGGAGTGTTCAATGCATATGACTGTATATATATATATATATATATATATATATATATATATATATATATATATATAAACCTACTTTACTTTTAATGTAAGTCAATGGAACCAGAGTTTTCCAAGTCATTTTGGGCCGTTTCTTGTAGTCCATTCAAATATTCAAATTTTCTCAAAAACTGAAAAATGATGACACAAACTTACTCACTTAAATCAAAACCAAACATTCTGTATTATAAACATATTTGATTTACTTATTTCTCTCTCTCTCTCTCTCTCTCTCTCTCTCTCTCTGTATCTATCTCTCTCATTCTCTCAGAATTAATCGGGCCCATTTAGTCCTCCATCTGTTTATGGGGAACTTGCTAAACGGCTGTTTAAAAATACTTTATTAACTATGAGGCGGATCCCAGGAACAGCCATCTGTCCCCTTAAAGCTCGATCCAACCTGAAACTGAACAACACACACTCACACATGCAGCACACGGACCAGTCCACCAAATTCTGCAGTACCACAGTAAAAACTATTAAAAAAACAGAAAATATTCAGAGCTTCAATATTTATTGAAGAGTTATGTTCTGATCTATTCAGACTCACAGCATTAATAGAGATAGAAATAAAAGCTAAATATATACAAAATCATCATTTGTAGGGTGTTTCCTATTGGGAGGTGTCTGTCTCAAACCCTGACCCCTAAATTTACACTTGTGAAAATAAATACAAATTTTTTGTATGTTTAATTAAAAAATGTTTCTTTTAAATTGAACTTGAAAGATTTGAATAAAAAACCTTGAAAAAAAACACAGAGTTTTATTCTGTGGGCGGAGCCATGCCCCTGAATATTAGAGCAGGAAGTGAGGTTGCACCCCTGTCCCTCATGGCCACATGGTGAGCAGTTAGATCCCATTGTTTTGAAGTAAACGTGTCCCAAAGTCTGAAAATCAGAATTTTCACTACTAAAACACGTATTTTCTGCAGTTTTAATGAAAATTATGACGATTTTCTGTGTGAACAGCTGTTCGAAGCTGTGTTTGCTGGTCATATACTGGCTGTGTTTTTGAGTTCTGCAGAAAATTAGCTAAAATGGTCACAGAAACAGTCACCACTGAAACATCTGGTGAAGTTGCGGTAGTGTCATGGATGTTTTGGTACAAATAATTAGTTTTAATGAACATAATTAAAGGGTAATTTCTGAATAATTCAGTCATTGAGATGTAAATAAAGTCTTTCGGGGGTCCTGATGTCTACAGCACAAATATAGCCATTTTATTTACTACGCAAAACCAGTAGTGAACCTACACGAGTCCTCTGAGTTTTATATGGTTGATGATGGAAAAATAGTGGAAAATCTGAGCAAATAAGTTTTCTTTGGCGACTATTTTGCCTCACAACACCCTGCATGTATCCCTCCACCATGAATGGATTAAAATGGATTAAAATGCATCACAGAACTATTATAAAACAATTTCGTAGGCAGTGAATTCATAACCAGGGAGCTTTTACAGGTGGACATCTGGTTCCTATCACCACCTCTGTGAACAGTTCTGACTCTAGAATGGAACATTTCACACCAAACCACTCTGAATGACTCTGTTTACATGATAACCATTTAACCAAGTAGAATTTTTTGAAAAATCGGTGGAGTTCTCCTTTAAGGTATGGGGTCACTCAAAGCAAAAGGACTTTAGTCCAAAGTCCAAGACCAGTTAAAAGCCCCAAATGTGGTTTCAGCTCTGACTTTGAACCAGTTTGGTAGAATCGTCCATTTACGTAAATAGAGGTCACTTCTCTTTCTGTCCTCCTTCCTTTCTATTCACACTCTTAATGTTTAGAAAGATGGTTTTTCAGGGTTTTTAGTAAAGACAACATAAAAAGAAAACATTAAATGATCCTTTATGTGGTGAAATGGTTCTTCAGATAGCAGAACCCCTTTTAGTGCTAAATGGAACCGTATAAAACACATTCTCCATCAATCTGAAGAACCATTTCAGTATGCAAAGAACCAGTTAAGCATGCAAACTGCTCTTTGAGTGTTTATGGCTCTTTATAGAGCCACTACCTTTACGAAAGAACCCTTAAAGAACCATCTTTTTCAAGAGTGCATTTATCTGCCTAATGTAAAGATAAATGGTTGAGTGAATACAGTAGTGCTATTTATCATTTCACTACATATCAGTATTAGTAGTGTTTTGCAGGGATGTAGGCAGTGGGCTGGGGGTGGGTGAGTGGTGGGGGTTGTGAGTGGGGTGTGGTGGGGGGGGGGTGAGTCGGGTGGGGTGCTGATGGGGCTGCAGCATCCCAGATTTCAGCATTGTTTAACTGCAAAAACAGAAACATAAATACCAGAAACCAAAAGACAACCGGCTTACATAACGATGGGGACAGTGTGTGTTACATCACCTCACAGGACAGTCCAGAGTATCCCTGAGGACAGTCGCATTTTTCAATCTGGAACGCTCTCTCGCTCCCCACCGAGGGACGGCCCTCCTCCGCCACCTCCAGAGAAATCTCCGAAATCCTGAGGAAAACACAAAATAAACAGATGGCACGCTTTAAAGAGGAGCTCCACCGTTCTCCACCTGAGCATTTCAGCATAATTACATGGTTAAGACGTAAACACGGTCATTCAGAGTGGTCAGAATTGTTCACAGTGCTGGTGATAGGAACCAGATGTCCACTTCTAAAAGCTCCCTCAAAGAAAGTTATTATATCATGGTTATGAATTCACTGCCTGATGACTGAGACACTGTTTTACAACAGTTTTGAAAAGATTTTGGGCCTAAAATGTATAGTTTTTGTAGCTGGTCATGGCGGAAGGATACATGTAGTGTGTTAAAAGGCGAAATAGTCCCCAAAAGAAACTTTTTTCAGATTTTCCACTCTTACACCATCATCAACATTCCAGAAGACTCGTGTAGGTTCACTGGTGGTTCTGGATAGTAAATAAAATGTCTATATTTGTGTTGTAGTCATGGCGACACCTGGTTCCTATCACCACCACTGTAAAGACATCTGAACCATTTCACACCAAACCACTATGAATGACCTCACGTGAATTTGAGAAATTTGGAAATATTGGTGGAATTCCCCTTCAAGCAATCAGTGTCCCTGTTTTGTAAACGTGTGGGTTTCTCTAGTGTTGTAAATCAACGCTGAATCTCATGAGCTTTCATTTTTTCAGCTTTTTTCTTTGCTCCACGGATTCAGCCTGGCGCCGAACAGCGAGCAGCGTGCATATGGAGGACAACAGTGAACAAGTTGGGAAATCAAGCTCGCTGATCCCATTTGGGAACATAAAAAAGGAAGCGCAGAGAAAAGCCCTCTAAGCAGATAATCTGTTTTTATTCTATTGTGCTCGTCAGGACCTGCTGAGGGATTCGGCAACAAAACAGCCATAGAAAAGACTCGCTATTCAGAAAGAGCCAGAGTGAATTCGAGGATGAAGAATGGAGCAACACCTCATGAGATTTGGGATCTTTGTCTTATGTATGGAAAGAAAAAGACATGTAGAATTGAATAAACCAGCCGGTATCAGGTGTAGAGGAGGTGCTCAGGGGTTTATTGAAGGCCTATTGAACACATGTCTGAAAATTTTGGCTCAGTTTTAGTATTTACCCCATTAACACTGTTATTATCCAATTAATATTCTTCTTCTTCATCTTCTTCTTCTTATTTTTTATTATTATTATTATTATTTTGCTGGACTTTTGTCCGCTAACTTGTCTCGCAGTTTTTGAGATATGTTCAAACTGATCAGGAATGATGTGCTTGTGTACAGCTTTTTGATTGGAAGTACGTTTTTCATATAACCATCATTAAATAACAATTTTTTTCTCCATAGGAATGAATGGGCTACAAACGTCAACCAGATGCAGTTAACTGTGTAGGGCAAATATTGCAACCACCTAGGAACACACTAGAAACCACCTGGGATACCACAGCAACCACCTAACAACACCTTAGCAACCACTTTGGATATCATAGCAACCACCTAACAACACCCTAGCAACCACTTGGGATACAACAGCAACCACCTAGCAACACCCTATGAACCACCTGGGATACCATAGCAACCACCTAACAACACTCTAGCAACCACGTGGAATACTATTGCAACCACCTATCAACACTCTAGCAACCATTAGGGATACTATAACAATCACCAAGCAACACCCTAGCAACCATTTGGGATACAGTAGCAACCACCTAGCAACACCCTAGCAACCACATGGGATACCATTGCAACCACCTAGTAACACCCTAGCAACCACTTGGAGTACCATAGCAACCACCTAGCAACACCCTAACAACCACTTGGGATACCATAGCAACCACCTAGCAACACCAAGCAACCACCTGGGATACCATAGCAACCACCCAACAGCACCCTAGCAATCACTTAGGATGCCTTAACAACCAACGAGCAACACTCTAGCGACCACTTGGGATACCATAGCAACCACCTAGCAACCACTTGGTATACCATAGCAACCACCTAACAACACCCTAGCAACCACCTAGCAATACCATATCAACCACTGATCAACTCTTTTGCAACCACCTAAAATACCATAGTAACCATGTGGCAACACTCAAGCAACCGCCTAGCAACTGCTTAATCTGCGCTCTTTTCCAGTTATTTAATATCATCACTGTGCTAGATGTATTTAAACTTTGCAAGTATTGTAGTAAAAACATCACTGCAGACCTTCTGGAAGTTCTAGATACGTCCCTGACTGTGAATATGAGCCGCAGGCTAAGTGGATTTGGGTCAGTTGTTAGGAATGGAGAACAGCGGCAGCAGCTCCATGTCAGAACTCTTTACTGGAAGAGTCGCTGTAAAACTGATACATACAAGCTGTAATGAAGTTCTAGTAAAATTAATGCCTGTAAAGAGGTTCCAGTAACGTTAATATCAAGAATTTAGTTCTAGTAAAATTGATATGCAATACGAAGTAGTAATAACATTAACTTTCAGAATGACCCTTATTTAAAAAGCGTTGAGAAAATGACTGGAATTTATAAAATTAATGGAATACTATTACTATAAATAAATGATTACAGTATATAATTTATTATTTAACAACGTCTGGTTCACAAAAACGTAAGAGAACTCAATAATATTGAAGAACCCCTTCCAACGTCTACCTTACAACACCATCTAATATCACAGTCTGCTCTTCTGAGGAAACATAGTGTTAAACATGTTCAGTGAAATGTCTGAAGGGTAGCGAACCTGCTGTGTCTCATGATGTTGCCGTGCGAAGCTCTGATGAGAACGTATTCGACGTAGAAGAGAACGTCCATGAAGTCCTCGCGGTTCATCGGCCTGTTGTCCTGGTGCTTCCACTCATGCTGCAAAACAACCACAGTAAACAATAAACACATAAACGTCAGCCTTTATTCATCCAAAGCTTTAGGCTGGAAAGTAAATCATCAGGGAGAATTTCTAAGCGCTGTCCACTTGGAGGAAAGAGAAAGGACATTACGTACTGGACAGTCCTCAACTTCTGGATTCAATTATGCAGCTAACTGAGAAGACTTGAGGAGTATTTACAAATCAGGCTTTATCAGTAAAGCCAGAGGCTCTCATTAGTGATTTTGTATCTGCTATTGTGAGATAGGATGGGCCTTATAAAACCACACTGGTAAAAAAATCCAGTTGAACCTGATGAGAGTTTACGGCACATTATTAATTTATTAATTAAAATAACATTGATTTGGTCTGTTTGTGAAAAGCCACAGTATCAGATCTTGGGAAGTTATTTTTTAACCTAAATTCAGATGACATGTTCATCGTCATTCAGTAAAGCTTGTACAACCTCTTAATAGTAGCTATGAAACAGTTAATTTGTAGGCGGAGCCTGGGCAGATCAATTTAAGCCTAACTGGCCACTTTATTAGAAACACCTACCTTGTACTTCCACTAACTGGCCACTTTATTAGAAACACCTACTTTGTTCTTTATTAGAAACAGCATTTATTAGCCTTCCTCATTGGTCAGTCTCTTTTGAAAGCAAATCTATAGACTAGTTTTTCAGTGATGATATGAAAAATACACATTGATCAGGCATAACATTAAAACCCACCTCCTGGTTTCTACACTCACTGTCCATCTTATCAGCTCCACTGACCGTATAGTTGCACTTTGTAGTTCTACAGTTACAGACTGTAGTCCATCTGTTTCTCTGATACTTTGTTAGCCCCCTTTTACCCTGTTCTTCAGTGGTCAGGACCCCCACAGGACCCCCACAGAGCAGGTACTATTTGGGTGGTGGATCATTCTCAGCACTGCAGTAACACTGACGTGGTGGTGGTGTGTTAGTGTGTGTTGCGCTGGTCTAAGTGGATCATACACAGCAGTGCTGCTGGAGTTTAAACACCTCAGTGTCACTGCTGGACTCAGAACCAGCCAACAGCGTCCTGTGGGCAGCGTCCTGTGACCACTGATGAAGGACTAGAGGATGACCAACACAAACTGTGCAGCAGCAGATGAGCTATCGTCTCTGACTTTACATCTACAAGAGGGACCGACAAGGTAGGAGTGTCTAATACAGTGGACAGTGAGTGGACAGTGTTTAAAAACTCCAGCACAACACACACTAACACACCACCACCACCACATCAGTGTCACTGCAGTGCTGAGAATGACCCACCACCCAAATGATACCTGCTCTGTGGGGGTCCTGTGGGGGTCCTGACCACTGAAGAACAGGGTAACAATTATGCAGAGAAACAGATGGACTACAGTCTGTAACTGTGTGACTATGTATGCAAGAAAATGTGAGAAGTTTAATCCTAATCAACTACTTTAATTTATAAAATGTCCTTTCAAACAGATTAAGACCTTTTAAGGAGCCGCTGACCGACTGCTATCAGGATGATTCCTCAACAGAACAGCGCTCGTTTGTTTCCTGCCAAAGAGCACAGTGACCTCTGCTCTCGCCTCATCACTCATTTACTCAGAGTGCTGGACATTGGCGCTCCGCTGAGATTGGCTCACCTCTGTCATGTCAATCTCATGGCGGGTCAGCTGGCCGATCTGCAGCGCCCCCACATGGCGGACCATGACCTTGTCCCTGTTGGGGCCGCCCTTAATGATGACCTGAGGCTCGTAGGTGCTCCGGCCTGTTTCATCGCGAGCCTCGAAGTAGGTGGCGTACTTCAGTTTCCCACCGTAGGCAGTGATCTAACACAAATCAATAAACCAATCAAATCAATCAATCCACTTATCCAGGCAATCAACCTCATCAATCAATTAGAACAGCATCTATCCAATGAGCAGTAATTATTCTATATCGATCACATTATTTTAGAAATAAAATCAGCTTGTAAATAAATATATAATTTATAGTATCAGTTTCATATTTCTTTTGCCGTCATAAGAAACAAACAAAGGGTCAGAATCAGACCATGGACCCTCTGAACTGTTTGGGCAGTCTCCAGTAGTAAGGTTCGGTCAGCTCCTGTTGGACCAGGTCGGCATTGGCGATGATCTCAGGGTGCTGGAACGTCACCCCGAACGTGGTCTCCTTCACATTGTTCCTGTCCACCAGGGGGAGCACTGTCTGCTCGGGCATCAGAGTCAACTACAACAGAGGAAGAGAAGAACATACATTATTTGCTTATTTACGGTCAGTGTCCTGGTCAGGGATCGAGTCTAGTACGGTATTACATTCTCCTTTCAGTGTAGTATGTCTGTTCAGAAAGCTGTGTAGTTCAGGACTAGGCTTAATCCCAGCCTGAGAAATCAAGCCTTACAGTATCACAGCCTATTTACTCCTCACGTTAACATACGGATCGATAAACTTTGGCCAGACTGCGTTTACACTTTTCACTAAAATGCATCCACACTGTGACCAAATGGGATCCAATTGTCCTGGACACTTTCTTCGTCCTGGACAACATGAAGGCTCTTGGTTTGGAGCTCTGAAGATATTCATTCAACACCTGTATCACATTCATTCTGACCACCTCCTTGTTTCTACGCTCATTGTCCATTTTATCAGCTCCACTTACTATATAGGAGCACTTTGTAGTTCTACAGTTACAGACTGTAGTCCATCTGTTTCTCTGATACTTTGTTAGCCCCCTTTTACCCTGTTCTTCAGTGGTCAGGACCCCCATGGACCCTCACAGAGCAGGTACTATTTGGGTGGTGGATCATTCTCAGCACTGCAGTAACACTGACGTGGTGGTGGTATGTTAGTGTGTGTTGTGCTGGTACGAGTGGATCAGACGCTGGAGTTTTTAAACACCTCAGCATCACTGCTGGACTGAGAATAGTCCACCAACCAAAAATATCCAGCCAACAGCGTCCTGTGGGCAGCGTCCTGTGACCACTGATGAAGGACGAGAGGGTGACCAACACAAACTGTGCAGCAGCAGATGAGCTATCGTCTCTGACTTTACATCTACAAGGTGGACCGACAAGGCAGGAGTGTCTAATAGAGTGGACAGTGAGTGGACACAGAAAACTCCAGCAGCACTGCTGTTTCTGATCCACTTGCACCAGCACAACACACACTAACACACCACCACCACGTCAGTGTTACTGCAGTGCTGAGAATGATCCACCACCCAAATAGTACCTGCTCTGTGAGGGTCCATGAGGGTCCTGACCACTGAAGAACAGGGTAAAAGGGGGCTAACAAAGTACATCAGAGAAACAGATGGACTACAGTCTGTAACTGTAGAACTACAAAGTGCACCTATATAGTAAGTGGAGCTGATAAAATGGACAATGAGCGTAGAAACAAGGAGGTGGTCATGATGTTATGCCTGATCAGTGTATATAAACATTTTATTATTAGGAAATTTATCCCAATTCAGTAAATGAAGGATGGTCTCTGACTTTTGCACAGTATCGTAACTTAGAAAAACAGAACACAGAGAATGGGAAATATACAAAACTGGCCGGCGCAGTGTCGGACCCTGTTAGGGCCAGGATTCTGCCTTCGGTTTTGCATACGCAGTGAGAGGTGTGTGTGTGGGGCACAGAGTGGGACCCCCTCGGGGCGACTAAACCGCACTCTCCGAGTCAACATGCAATCTTACGACTCAGTGGCTCAGAGAAAATCTCCCACTTTCCCACAAAATGAACTAAAGGATTGCGGACGCGCTCCTCCCTCCCCGGCAAACAAACTTAGATTAACTTTTGGGCTGCAACCTTTATTTAATTTGTTTGCCGATTTCGGCTTATTCGCAAGTGTCCTCCAGCGCTGTTCTGTTGCACGCGTCTCCATGGACACGCCGCGAGCTGATGGGACTTTGGAGGATCTTGGAGGAAATCCTTATTAAAAACAAACAAGACCAGTGCAATATCTCTCTATTCTTTCTCCTCTGTTCTCTCCTTCCTCCCCAGACTGCCTCTATCTCCAGCTATCTCCTATTAGCTTCCCAGCCACGTATTTTTATGCACATATATTTCAAAAAAAGACTAAAATTGCAAACATTTGCATGGAAATTTGCACACTTTTCATAACCTTTTGCACAACATTTAGGTGCCCATCATTATGCCTTCATTAAACATTAACAGGTCAAGTTTGCTCAATGCTGATTAAGCAGTAACTAAAGTGAGTTGCCTTTATAAGCCCTTATTAAACCTCATCCAGCCAGTAGTAGGTAATTACTTGGCTAATTACTACTTTATAAAGCAGTAACTAATGTAAATTGTGCATTAAGCAATCATCGCGCTTATTTTAAACCTAATCAAGCCAGTAGTTGGCAATTAAGTGGCAGCTAATTACTACTTTATTAAGAAGTATCAGGTGAATTGCCTTTGTAAAGCCTTTATTAAGCCTTATCAAGTTAGTAGTTTGTAATTAGCTGGCAGCTAGTTACTACTTTATTAAGCAGAAACAGATGGATTGCCTTTGTAATGCCTTTATAAAGCAGTAACTAAGGTAAATTACCTTTATATAGCCTTTATTAAGCTTTTTTTAATCAAGTTATTGGTTGGTAATTTATTGTAAGCTTATTACTACTTTATTAAGCAGTAACTAAGGTGAACTGAGTAATTGTAATGCTCATATTAAGCCTTATCAATCCAGTAGGTGGTAATTAACTGGCAGCTAATTACTATTTTATTAATCAGAAACTAGAGAGACATTTTCCCTTTTTTCAGATATCTTTTATTTTGGTATTCTACATCATAGTACTGGATAGCCAGACAATTAATAGCTGCTGTAATTAACCCTTTATAAGGCTTAATTACAGCATTATGAGCACTCTGGAAAATCTTTAATTCACACTAGTTACTGCTTAATAAATGAGCACTGAGCAGAAAGTTAATTAGTAGTTATTGACTTGATAATGTTTCATGAAGACGTAATGATGGACACCTAAAATGCTGTGCAAAAGATTATGATGTAGAGGGTCGTGAAAAAGTATTTGCCCCTGTTGGACTTCTTCTATTGTTTGCACATTTATCACACTATTTTGGATTTTCAAGCAAAATTTAAAACCTGAGAAAACATAAAATACAGTTTTTAAATTAGCTCTTCATTGATTGAAGAAAAAAGTGTGAAAATGTGAAATATTGCCCCCTTAGTTCCTCAGTCAACCAACTAAGCAAATGTAGCTAGTAGAAGTAGGGTTAAATAAGCTAGACTCACTCACTACGAGACCTGTTTAATCTAAAGCATCGCTTGAATAGAACCTTTCCAGCAATGTGAAGAAGGCTAAAGCTGTGATCAAATATGTAAATATACTTGTTTGGTTGCAAATACATTTGTAAAGATCTGGGACTCCAGCAAACCGAAGTGAGAGTCATCATCTCTCAATGGAGCAAACTTGGGACAATGGTGAATCTTTCCCAGAAGTGTCCGACTTATCCAAATTCCACCAAAAACAATACGTCATCCAGGAAAACAGAAAAGAACCCAGACGGACATCTAAGGAACTACTGGACTTGATTCTTGATGACTACTCAAGACTTTTAGAATAATGTTCTGTAGAAAGTGGAACTTTTTGGAATATACGGGTCCCGTCACAGACAATCAGCAGTGAAACATGGTGGTGGTAGTGTGACGGTTTGGGGATCCTTTGCTGTTCTGGGCCTGGGTGACTTGCCATATTTGACAGAACCATGAATTCTACTTTATACCAGAAAATTCTATGTCCAGTCATCAGTCCGCGATCTGAAGCTCAAGCTTTAGTCAGTTATATAATTCATTTTATACAGTACAATACGTTTCAGAAACCATTTACTGTGACAAATATAATAGAGGAAATCAGGAAGGGGCAATTACTTTTTCACAGCATTGTATCATACACAACTATAAGTGCTGAAGAAAAGATATACTGAACAGCATTATGGGATAGGACAATAACTGGGAGTTAAAAAGTGTCAGTATTTTAATAAAATGGTTTTATTCTGATAAATAATAATAATAATAATAATAATAATAATAATATTGATAAAAATGTCATTGTTTATTAGTTTTGCCCGATATAAGTTTTTGGTCTTAAGTTAAAAGGTCTGTATTTGACTTTTTCACATGATGTTTTGAAAAAGGGGAGTTCAGCCCTTTGATATGATACTTTACTCCTCTGTTTGTGATGATGTGAAGCTGATCTCAGGCAGATGAGCTGTAGAGGGTCTGTGGGACAGAGAGAGGCGACGGAGAGGAACCCATGTTTTATTCACATTAACTGTTGCCCCAGTAACCACCATCCTCTCCGGAGGACAACACTACACACACACACACACACACACACACACACATATACACACACACACACACACACACACTCACGGTTAAACAAAATCATAACAATCATGCACACACACCTCACTAAACCCCACACACCGTCTCCATAGTGACAGCAAGCATTTCTACTCATAAATGACTATAAAGCCGCAGGGACAGTTTAGTTTCTAATTTAATCTGTGTAGAATACCCAGCCTGCTGGAAAACCAGCTTAGACCAGCATCAATACTATGCTGGTCTAAACTGGTTTATACTGGTCTGTGCTGTCTGGTGCTGGTTTGTGCTGGTCTGGTGCTGGTTTACACTGGTCTGGTGCTGGTTTATGCTGGTCTGGTGCTGGTTTATGCTTGTTTATGCTGGTCTGGTGCTAGTTTATGCTAGCTTATGCTGGTCTGGTACTGGTTTTTGCTGGCTTATGCTGGTCTGGTACTGGTTTTTGCTGGTTTATGCTGGTCTGGTGCTGATTTTTGCTACATTATGCTGGTCTATTGCTGGTTCATGCTAGTATGTGCTGGTCTGTTGATGGTTTATGCTGGTCTATACTGATCTGGGGCTGGTTTATGCTAGCTTTTGCTGGTCTGGTGCTGGTTTATGTTGGTCTGGTGCTGGTTTATGCTGGTCTGGTGTTGGTCTATACTGATCTGGTTCTGGTTTCTGTTGGTCTGGTGCTGGTTAATGTTGGTCTGGTGCTGGTTTATGCTGGTCTATACTGATCTGGTGCTGGTTTATGCTGGTCTGGTGCTGGTCTATGTTGGTCTGGTGCTGGTCTCTGCCGATCTGGGGCTTGTTTATGCTGGTCTCTGCTGATCTGGGGCTGGTTTATGCTGGTCTCTGCTGATCTGGGGCTGGTTTATGCTGGTAAGTTCGAGAGGCATGTGTTCCCTGTGGATGTGTTAACTTATTTACATTTTGATAAAGAACAAAAACATGGAGTTTGACCGGGGGTGCCAAAACTGCTGCGTGTGTATGTACTCACCCTCATGCGTATGAGCCCCTGAGCCTCAGTGCAGGATTTGCTCATGCCGAAGCAGTAACAGTGGCTGCAGCCCAGAGGGTTACTGACACTGAGTCCAAACCTCCCAGCCTTACAGGAGCCGCACCGCACGCCCTCCACATTAGCCTGAGAACACACAGACACATTATCGGTTACTATAGATACATTTTGGAACATTGCTGTGAGGATTTGATTGAGCATCAGTGAGGTCAGGAAATTATGTTGGAAGATCAGCTCTGGATCACTGCAACTCATTCTGAAGGTACTGGATGGAGCTTCATCACTCCAGAGAACGCTGTTCCACCGCTCCACAGCTGAGATCGATAGATAGATAGATAGATAGATAGACTGATTAATCAGTCAATAGATAGACAGACAGATAGACTGACCAACAGACAGATAAGTGCATAGATGGACAAATAGGTTTGTGTTTAATATTACACATTAACCCCTTAAGTTACACGTTTTAGCTGTAGTGAGATGTTGTAGCTGTAGTGAGAAGTTGTAGCTGTAGTGAGACATTGTAGCTGTAGTGAGATGTTGTAGCTGTAGTGAGAAGTTGTGGCTGTAGTGAGAAGTTGTGGCTGTAGTGAGATGTAGCTGTAGTGAGATGTAGCTGTAGTGAGAAGTTGTAGTGAGAAGTTGTAGCTGTAGTGAGAAGTTGTAGCTGTAGTGAGATGTAGCTGTAGTGAGAAGTTGTGGCTGTAGTGAGAAGTTGTAGCTGTAGTGAGAAGTTGTAGCTGTAGTGAGAAGTTGTGGCTGTAGTGAGAAGTCGTAGCTGTAGTGAGAAGTTGTAGCTGTAGTGAGACGTTGTAGCTGTAGTGAGATGTTGTAGCTGTAGTGAGACGTAGTAGCTGTAGTGAGAAGTCGTAGCTGTAGTGAGACGTTGTAGCTGTAGTGAGATGATGTAGCTGTAGTGAGACGTTGTAGCTGTAGTGAGACGTCGTAGCTGTAGTGAGACGTTGTAGCTGTAGTGAGATGATGTAGCTGTGATCAAAAGTTGTATCTGTAGTGAGATGATGTAGCTGTAGTGAGACGTAGCTGTAGTGAGAAGTTGTAGCTGTAGTGAGACGTCGTAGCTGTAGTGAGGCGTAGCTGTAGTGAGAAGTTGCAGCTGTAGTGAGACGTAGCTGTAGTGAGACGTAGCTGTAGTGAGACGTCGTAGCTGTAGTGAGACGTTGTAGCTGTAGTGAGATGATGTAGCTGTGATCAAAAGTTGTATCTGTAGTGAGATGTTGTAGCTGTAGTGAGACGTTGTAGCTGTAGTGAGACGTTGTAGCTGTAGTGAGACGTTGTAGCTGTAGTGAGAAGTCGTAGCTGTAGTGAAAAGTGTTCATGCAGCTGTCATTGGTTCAGCGTGATTGATGTTCACTCTGGCGCTGTATGAGTGAGAGACCTGAGCTGACCTGCAGACGATCTATCAGCCCTATTTTTAGCTCCAGAGCTTTACGTTCACAATAACGGACTCGTGCAGCCGTCAGCAGAACTCAGAGCAGCACAAACATGCTCAGTTTGACCCAAATGACAGTGTGTGTGAGAAAGAGGCCTGAGGGACCGCACAGTGGACGCAGCCCCCCCCCTCCATCACACTCACCCACACTGTATGAGGCAGATTAGGACAGAGAGAAAGAAAGGAGAAGGAGTGTTTTGACAGCCTGACTCCACTCATACAGTACGAGTCTTTCAACTGCAGTGTGTGTGTGCGTGTGTGTGTGTGTGTGTGTGTGTGTGTGTGTGTGGGCAGCGTGACGAGCTGCACTGCTACACACAGACAGGCCTGTCACACACACCAAATAACACTGTGGGTGATGGCTCTCATTAACAATGACACACACACACACACACACACACACTCACACACACACACACACACACAGACGCACACACACACACCTTTCAGCACACTCCTACAGACAGAAGGGGACTGAAAGGCTCAAACACTGTTAATGTTACACAGATTCAACAGTGCTGGGCAGTAGTGTGTGTGTGTGTGTGTGTGTGTGTGAGAGAGTGAGTGAGTGTGTGTGTGTGTGTGTGTGTGTGTGTATGTGTGTGTGAGAGAGAGTGAGTGTGTGTGTGTGTGTGTGTGTGTGTGTGTGTGTGTGGTTTCTATTAAGAATAGTGTAGAATAGATCACAGTGTATCGTATTATATAATATTGTACTGAATTGAATCATGACAGATCATATTATATTGTATTGTGTCAAACAGTATCACAGATATAAAACGGATAGTTCTGGTCCTAAAATCTGATTGGCTGAGCTGAGTTCAAAGCCGTTGTAAAACCCACTATATACACACTCCTATGACGCCTCACAACAACTGAACTGTATCACTGCACCACGAAAAACCCTTGTGCTGTTAATGAATAATCTGACTCTAATTTGGTGACCAAAACAAGCTTATAAAGCAAAAGTTCCTGCATTAAGCAGTTCTGTGTTATCATATGTTCATTGTTATACGACAAAAGGTTAAAAAGTTCATGAAATGACTGCCTTAAACAGCGATGGGCGACCCATTCAGCAGTCCACGGTTGCTTGGCAACAATACCATACTCTGAAGGAACTACATTTCTTGGCGGAATACTTGTTTATGTTGATTATTATTAATAATTAATTATTTTCTGAAAAATTCTGTGTTTATTATATTTTATGTTGGCTGCCTTTTATAAAGGCAATAAGCCACTTGAGGCCGAGTGTTGCTGTGATTTTATCACAGAGAAGGAAGTTTTACTTCGCTACACGTCGTGCCTAATAACACCCTTCCCTGCGATACAATCACAGTGACGCACAGCCTCTCGTGTCTTATTGCTTTATTATGAAATTGTTTCACAGTGTATCTTATTATACTGTATTTGTGTATTTTGTGACCTCAAATAGAGAGTTTAAAACTGAGCGCTGTGATTGGAGGAGCTCAAATAGAGTGTTTGAAACTGAGCGCTGTGATTGGAGGAGCTCAAATAGAGGTTTAGAGCGTGATGTCAAATAGAGCGTTTAAAACTGAGTGCTGTGATTGGAACAGCTCAAATAGAGCATTTAAAACTGAGCGCTGTGATTGGAGGAACTCAAATAGAGTTTAAAACTGAGCGATGTGATTGGAGGAGCTCAAATAGAGTGTTTAAAACTGAGCGCTGTGATTGGAGGAGCTCAAATAGAGTGTTTAAAACTGAGCGCTGTGATTGGAGGAACTCAAATAGAGTGTTTAAAACTGAGCGATGTGATTGGAGGAGCTCAGATAGTGTTTAAAACTGAGCGCTGTGATTGGAGGAGCTTAAATAGAGTGTTTAAAACTGAGCGCTGTGATTGGAGGAGCTCAAATAGAGTGTTTAAAACTGAGCGATGTGATTGGAGGAGCTCAGATAGTGTTTAAAACTGAGCGCTGTGATTGGAGGAGCTCAAATAGAGTGTTTAAAACTGAGCGCTGTGATTGGAGGAGCTCAAATAGAGTGTTTAAAACCGAGCACTGTGATTGGAGGAGCTCAAACAGAGTTTAAAACTGAGTGATGTGATTGGAGGAGCTCAAATAGAGTGTTTAAAACTGAGCGCTGTGATTGGAGGAGCTCAAATAGAGCGTTTAAACTGAGCGCTGTGATTGGAGGAACTCAAATAGAGTTTAAAACTGAGCGATGTGATTGGAGGAGCTCAAATAGAGTGTTTAAAACTGAGTGATGTGATTGGAGGAGCTCAAATAGAGTGTTTAAAACTGAGCGCTGTGATTGGAACAGCTCAAATAGAGTGTTTAAAACTGAAAGCTGTGATTGGAAGAGCTCAGACAGAGTGTTTAAAACTGAGCGCTGTGATTGGAGGAGCTCAAATAGTGTTTAAAATTGAGTGCTGTGATTGGAGGAGCTCAAATAGAGTGTTTAAAACTGAGCACTGTGATTGGAGGAGCTCAGATAGTGTTTAAAACTGAGCGATGTGATTGGAGGAGCTCAAATAGAGTGTTTAAAACTGAGCGCTGTGATTGGAGGAGCTCAAATAGAGTGTTTAAAACTGAGCGCTGTGATTGGAGGAACTCAAATAGAGTGTTTAAAACTGAGCGCTGTGATTGGAGGAACTCAAATAGAGTTTAAAACTGAGCAATGTGATTGGAGGAGCTCAAATAGAGTGTTTAAAACTGAGCGATGTGATTGGAGGAGCTCAGATAGTGTTTAAAACTGAGCGCTGTGATTGGAGGAGCTCAAATAGAGTGTTTAAAACTGAGCGCTGTGATTGGAGGAGCTCAAATAGAGTGTTTAAAACCGAGCACTGTGATTGGAGGAGCTCAAACAGAGTTTAAAACTGAGTGATGTGATTGGAGGAGCTCAAATAGAGTGTTTAAAACTGAGTGCTGTGATTGGAGGAGCTCAAATAGAGCGTTTAAAACTGAGTGCTGTGATTGGAACAGCTCAAATAGAGTGTTTAAAACTGAGTGCTGTGATTGGAACAGCTCAAATAGAGTGTTTAAAACTGAGTGCTGTGATTGGAACAGCTCAAATAGAGTGTTTAAAACTGAAAGCTGTGATTGGAAGAGCTCAGACAGAGTGTTTAAAACTGAGCGCTGTGATTGGAGGAGCTTAAATAGTGTTTAAAATTGAGTGCTGTGATTGGAGGAGCTCAAATAGAGTGTTTAAAACTGAGCACTGTGATTGGAGGAGCTCAAATAGAGTTTAAAACTGAGCGATGTGATTGGAGGAGCTCAAATAGAGTGTTTAAAACTGAAAGCTGTGATTGGAAGAGCTCAGACAGAGTGTTTAAAACTGAGCGCTGTGATTGGAGGAGCTCAGATAGTGTTTAAAACTGAGCGATGTGATTGGAGGAGCTCAAACAGAGTGTTTAAAACTGAGCGCTGTGATTGGAGGAACTCAAATAGAGTGTTTAAAACTGAGCGCTGTGATTGGAGGAACTCAAATAGAGTTTAAAACTGAGCAATGTGATTGGAGGAGCTCAAATAGAGTGTTTAAAACTGAGCGATGTGATTGGAGGAGCTCAGATAGTGTTTAAAACTGAGCGCTGTGATTGGAGGAGCTCAAATAGAGTGTTTAAAACTGAGCGCTGTGATTGGAGGAGCTCAAATAGAGTGTTTAAAACCGAGCACTGTGATTGGAGGAGCTCAAACAGAGTTTAAAACTGAGTGATGTGATTGGAGGAGCTCAAATAGAGTGTTTAAAACTGAGTGCTGTGATTGGAGGAGCTCAAATAGAAAACTGAGCACGATGAGCGTTTAAAACTGAGCGATGATTGGAGGAGCTCAAATAGAGTGTTTAAAACTGAGTGCTGTGATTGGAGGAGCTCAAATAGAGTGTTTAAAACTGAGTGCTGTGATTGGAGGAGCTCAAATAGAGTGTTTAAAACTGAGCACTGTGATTGGAGGAGCTCAGATAGTGTTTAAAACTGAGCGATGTGATTGGAGGAGCTCAAATAGAGTGTTTAAAACTGAGCGATGTGATTGGAGGAGCTCAAATAGAGTGTTTAAAACTGAGCACTGTGGTCGGTTACCTTGCAGGAGCACTGTCCGTTCCGATCGGCACAGGCACACAGACCAGTGTCAGAGTCACAGGTGTCTGCAGTGGATCCGGCCAGTGTGCAGTCGCAGGAAATGCACTGTGGGAAATTGCGGAAGCCCAGTTTGCACTCGTTGCATTTCTCTCCGCTGAACTGATCCCGACACATACAGCAGCCCGTGTTTATGTTGCACTGCTGAGAGACCGAGCCGAACACATCACACCCACACAGCTGCAGAGAGAGAGAGAGAGAGAGAGAGAGAGAGAGAGAGAGAGAGGCACTGGTCATTAGACTTCTTTTGAGGGAACGGACACGTTTGTGCTCAGAGTTCTTAGTTCTTTTATAGTTGCTGTTCAAAGTTTTCAGAACACTGGATGAAAGAAAAACAATGGTACCTCTTTCTTCTACAGTCCCTTAAGTTGTGAGATATTAATGAGGTCAATGTGAGACGCAAATGCCAGTATTACACTCTTTAAAAAAAATGGTTCTCCAAGGGTTCTTTAGTAAGAAATTGGTTCTGTGTAGAACCATGAACACTCAAAGAACCATGTGCATGCTCTCTCGTTGCATGTTGAAATGGTTCTTCAGACCGATGGAGAATGTGTTGTATATGGTCCTATATAGAACCTTTTTGAAAATGATTCTATACAGAACCAAAAAGAGTTCTACTGATGTTGCAAGCTTAACAATAGCAGAACCCGTTTTAGTGCTACACAGAACCACTTTCAAAAAGGCTCTATGTAGAACCATATACAACAAATTCTCCATCAATCTGAAGAACTATTTCAACATCAAAGAGAGAGCATGCACATGGTTCTTTGAGTGTTCATGGTTCTATAAAAACCTTGTCTTTATCAGTTATCAGTTATATTGGTGCACATCAAAGTGACCCATTAAACCGCAGGGGGCGCTCTCACAGTATTTAGAACTCACAGTTTATCAAGCTTTAATTTTGTTTTGAACTTTTTTTTACAAAAGTAACAGCAGCTTAACTCACATTTTTCACATTGTTTTCATTACATGTTTATGTTTCAGCTGTGTGTGTGTATGGTTGGTTGCTAGGCAACAGATATGACAGCTGATTGTTGGCTGCGATCGAGTAGTTTAGGAGTTACCTTGCAGCCGGTGGTGATGTCATGCCCCCAGTGGTTGGGGGCGCACCTGTCACACCTCTCTCCGACTGTGTTGGGGGGGCAGATACACTGTCCTGTGGTCGAGTCACAGTTATTCCCTACGTGAGAACAATGACAGGCTGAGAGAGAGAGAGAGAGAGAGAGAGAGAGAGAGAGAGAGAGAGAGAAAGAGAAAGAGAGAGAGAGAGAGAGAGAATGAGAGAGATTAATTACACACTCAGGTGTTTGCACCTGTTACAAATGTCACCGGATGCACTTCTACACTGACTCATTACCTCCTCCACTCCTCCATCCATCATCAGAGTCAGAGTGAGTGTGTGTGTGAGTACGTGTGTGTGTGTGTGTGTGTGTGTGTGTGTGTGTGTAAACATGTGCAACATGTCTTCAAACTGATGTAACACTAAAACTGCAGCAGGTACTTCCACCAACATCTGTAACATAAATTAATTTCCAATCTTCAAAATTAAAACAAATATACTTCTGCTCTGAACCTACTTTGGAAAAATGTACCCACCTTGTGCTTCCACTAACTGGCCACTTTATTAGAAACACCCACCTTGTACTTCCACTAACTGGCCACTTTATTAGAAACACCTATCTTGTGCCTTCACTCACTGGCCACTTTAGTAGAAACACCTACCTTGTACTTCCACCAACTGGCCACTTTATTAGAAACACCTATCTTGTGCTTCCACTCACTGGCCACTTCATTAGAAACACCTACCTTGTGCTTCCGCTAACTGGCCACTTTATTAGAAACACCCAACTTGAACGTCAACTAACTGGCCACTTTATTAGAAACACCTACCTTGTTCTTACATTAACTAGACACTTTATTAGAAACACCCAACTTAAGCTTCCACTCACTGGCCACTTTATCAGAAACACCCACCTTGTGCTTCTGCTAACTGGCCACTTTATCAGAAACACCCACCTTGTACTTCCACTCACTGGCCACTTTATTAGAAACACCCACCTTGTGCTTCCTCTAACTGGCCACTTTATTAGAAACACCCACCTTGTGCTTCAACTAACTGGCCACTTTATTAGAAACACCTACCTTGTGCTTTTACTAACTGGCCACTTTATTAGAAACACCTCCTTATAGCTCCACTGTGTATGTGAATGTGATGTATGTTACTGTAGCTCATCTGCTGCTGTAGTTCATCTGCCCTCCTCTACCCCAGTCATCTTTGGTCAGTTTCTGTGTTAGTTTCTTGGTTAAAAGCTCCTAAGGGTCAAAGGTTAAACATGTTCTTACGTGTGCATCCTCCCTCCTGGAAGTTGAAGTGTCCCGGAGCGCAGCGGTCACACTTCTGTCCAGCGACTCCGGGCTGACAGCGGCACTGACCGCTCTCGCTGCAGTCAAACGACTTGGAGCCAAACGAGTTACAGTGACAGGGTATACAGCCACGGCCGGCCTGCAGGTAGGTCTCCGGCTAAACACACGAACAAAAACAATGTTTGAGTGAAGGACACGGAGCTCTACAAACCTGCGCATTCCAAACGCTAACATGGCCAACAACGAATGAAAGGACAGTGCTCAAAGGTTTGCGGTCAGTGGTTTCATTCATGCAAAGCCAGTTTCTTTGAATATTTGTGTATAAAATGATTCTGTGATGAAGTTACTGTCTTACAAGTTTCAAACCGTTTGTAGGAACCTGTGAAAATGAAAACGAGAAATTTGTCCATCATGAAGAACCAACTTATAAAGGCACTGACCTCCACAATGCCTCACAATGACCGATAATCAAATCTCGCCAATTTAACGGATACAGTATTTTTGTAACAACAAATTCTAATAAACAGAAAATTATAGCTTATTATTTAATAACACTTCCAATCGTATTTTACACATCCGAACTTTATGTTGCTCCCAGAATACTGTAAACGGTGAACAAAGTAATGATTTAATTTTTGGTGTCTAGTTTACGGCATTTCAATCTACACTGTATGAGTTATGACTGAAAAACAGTTATTATTATGATATATGACCCTAAACTTTTGAGTGGTTTAGCATAAAGGCATTTGATAAATGTTAACGTGGCTAACAATCAATGGAGCATGAGTGCATAGTGCTAACTTGGCCCTGGGTTTTGTTCATGTTTCTCTGTATGTTACAGTATTTCAGCTGAAAAATAACAGTAGTGAGAAGTCAACTGAGTAAAAAAGGAGGAATAGGTGATACAGTGAGTGATTCTGACTGAGCACCACATTCTCAAAACCAGCACACACACAATCCAGCGCAAACCAATACAACCAGAACCGAACCACAGGGGTAAGCAGGCTTAAAGCACAGCAGAACCAGACCAAACCAACCTGGAAACACTGGAACCAAAGCAGAACCACACCAGATTAATTCAGTTCAATAAGGCTGCATTTACTTTATTGTGCTGTGTGTGTAGAAACCAGTTAGAGGTTCATGCAGAGATGCAGTTACTCTGTTTACAAACAAACCCAATCTCTCTCTCTCTCTCTCTCTCTCTCTCTCTCTCTCGCTCTCTCTCTCTCTTTCTCCCTGTCTCTGTTGCTCTGCATTCCCCCCCTCTCTCTCTTTCTATCTCTCTCTGTATCCTCTTTCTATCTATCTTCTCTCTCTCTCTGTCTTTCTTGCTCTGTATTCTCTCTCTCTCTCATTCTGTGCTCTTTCTCTCTCTCTCTGTACTCTCTCTCTCTCACACACCCTCTCACTCTCCGTATTCTCTCACTCTGTCTTCTCTCTCTCTCTCATTCTGTGCTCTTTCTCTCTCTCTCTGTACTCTCTCTCTCTCACACACCCTCTCACTCTCCGTATTCTCTCTCTCTGTCTCTCTCTCACTCTATCTCACTCTGTATTCTCTCTCTCGCTCTTTCTGTCTTTCAGTATTCTCTTTCTCTCTTCCTCTGTCTTTCTCGTTCTATACTCTCTCTCTCTCTCTCTCTCTCTCTCTCTCTCTCTCTCTCTCTCTCCTCTACTTCTCTGTGATTGACAGTAACCCCTCTGCTGAGAGCAGGTGCACCGTTGGGGCCGCAGCCAATCAGAGCGCTTCCCTGCCTCGGCCCGTTAGCGTCGCCCCGGAGACGCCATATGTGTGCCATCTCCCATCGCCAACCGCGCACATGCACACACCTGCTCAGTCACCACACACACACACACACACACACACACGCACACACACACACACGCACACACACACACACACACACACACACACGCACACACACACACACACACACACACAGAATCTCATTAATTTATCTTTCAGCTTTTAGACAAACTGACAAACAAAAAACGTAAAAAATAATGTTTAAAAGTCTTTGTTTGAAAGAGCAGCGTCTGAGTCTGAGAGCCGATCAGTCTTCAAAGACCGGAGAGAGAAAGCTTTAAATAAATAATCTTCAGAAGAAGAAACAGAATACTAATTATTCCACACACAGGAGCTTTGAGCTTAAATTAGCCTGAATCTCTCGCTGCTGCTGTGACAAACGCTCGCTACATTAACGACGGCTAATAAACGGCCCTTTAACTCAGACAGACAGAGTCAGTCTGAGAGGGAAGAGCCAGAAAACTTTACGCTCCGCTCCTGATCAAACGCAGCTGCAGCGCAGAACCGCACACACGCCCGGTTCTCTAACGGCCCGATTACAGGAGACAGTCAGAACAGATTCCAGTGCAGGACAAAGAGATTTACATTACAGTATTCATAAAAAATAAACATATTAAAAATGTATGATAAATATGAATTAAAATATTAAAACTTATACAAATAAAATAGAGTAAAATTAAAAATAAACTTAAGTATCTATATGTAGTAATAACATGTTCCATATTAATACTTATATACAGGCTGATTCAAAAAGATTCATCCGATTTCAAAGCGCCATATTTTTCCAACCGTGAGGCGCCTAGGGAACCAATCACAATCCAATTGAAAGAGGGGGTCATAGAGTTTCTGACTGTCAGTGGAAGATGGATCCCTTCAGTCTGAGAGGAGATGAGACCCCTGAGCAGAAAGCGTTCTGCGTTCTCCACTTCAATAAGAGTGAATCCGTCATAACTGTGCAGCGTGATTTACGTGGGCAGTGAAGCTCCAACAGCTCAGAGCGTTCGTCGTTGGTTCCACAACACTGGATGATCTCCGAAATCGCACTGAAAGAGCCGTGAGTGCAGCGACACCCGACATGCTCAATCCAGTATGGGATGAGTTTGACTATGGCGTTGATGTTGTCTGTACAGCTGGAGGAGGTTCATACTGAGACCTTGTACAATTACATAATACACTTTATGCTCATTTAACCCATTTACAGTTTACTGCATTGATCAGTAATGATTTACAAGTGAAATAAATCATTTTGAAAATCAGATGAATCTTTTTGAATCACCCTGTATGTTATATATATAGTTGCTGTCTATTTTTTCAGTTTTATTTTTCATCATTTCAGCTCAGCCACTGCTCTTTACGCTCTGGTGGTGTGCAAACATTTCAGGATGAATGGACCAATAAAATTTAATTTAAAAATGTAATTTTTTTTACCACATTTATAATGACTAGTTGCCCTTTATGTTGTGTCACAATTCCATGATGAATGTACCAACAGAAATGGTTCAAAATTACTTGGAAAAAATATTTATTATGAATTTTATTTATTATATATTATATATATTTTAGAAAATATATTCACTTCATATTGCATATTCACATATATATGCATGTATATGTATGTACATATATGAAAATATATCCCAAATATATTATATGTATATATGTAAGTATCTATGTAATAATATGTCCCATATGTAATATACATGCATCCTATATATTATATTATTACCCATAGATCATTATTTATGCACTGCGATGGTCTGGCGACCTGTCCAGGTGTTTCCTTCCTTCTGCCTAATGAACACTGGAATTGTCTCCAGCTCCCCCGTGACCCAGAAGGATAAGCGGCTTAGAAAATGTGTGTGTGTGATTATTATTACAGTGTTATGTATGTATTGTGGAAAAACCTCACATCTCCAACATGGCAACTTTTTACAGCACAAGGAATGAAAATTAATGTGAATTTTTTTTTTCATTAATGGAAAATATGGAGAATAGAGACACAAAGTTTTGTGTGATATGTATTTACATATATGTATTAATAGTATGTATTATACATAAGTAAGTACCCATATTGCAACAGCAGGATGTCCCGCAAAAGTCAGGACAAAACAAACAAACACAAACAAACAAACAAACAAAGAAACAAACACCAGGCTGTTACATCTTCACCCCAGCGCTGCCGGATCGTTATGATGACTGCATGCTGGTAAACACACAGGAGCAGCTGCATGCTCTGAATTCACCCACATGTTAGCAGGAACACTTCAAACAAACACACACACACACACTGGAGGTGGTGTGTTTACCCGTGTGGGGGCGGGGTAAGCCCCCCGAGGGCAGCCCCCCCTGCGGTCCCACTGCTGCAGGGTCTTTATGGGAACCTGCTGCAGAACCCTGCGGCTCTCTCTGCGCTCCAGCCTCTGCACCTGTACGTCACACCTGCGGCCCGTGAAACCCGGCCTACACAAACACCTGCCCTGCGCGTCACACCGCGCAGACACGCTGCCCTGCGCGCTGCACTCACACACGCGGCACACCTGACGCTCAGGGTCCCACCAGCAGTTCGGCTACACACACACAGTGATGGAGATCACCAATAAAACAGGAAATATAAATACAATCAAATTAAATACACTGAAAAACAACTGATCAGGTAAATTTACACCTGTACATACAAAAGGAAGGACGAAATAACGGAAACACCATGGACATTCTAAAAACTGGTATGTGTTTCTAATAAAGTGGCCAGGTAGTGGAAGCACAAGGTGGGTGTTTCTAAAAAAGTGTCCAGTTAATGGAAGCACAAAGTAGGTGTTTCTGATAAAGTGGCCAGTGAGTGGAAGCATAAGGTGGTGTTTCCATTTTTTTGTCCTTCCTCTGTCTATGTGTGAGTTTGTGTGTGAGAGTGTGCATGTTTGTGTTAGTTAATGTTGGTCATGTGTGTGTGTGTGTGTGTGTGTGTTTACTCACCATACACTCGTCGCACTGGCGGCCGACGACGTGCTGCCGACACTCACACTGTCCACTCTGTTTATTACACACCTCGGACACTGACCCGTTAGTGTTACACTCACAGCCTGCAGAGAGAGAGAGAGAGAGAGAGAGAGAGACATTGAGACATTATTGACTTGGTGATCATCATCATGAATGACACTGATTATTCTGTTTTCTCTCTTTTCTATATTTTTCTCTTTCTCTCTCCTCTCTCTTTTCATCTCTCCCTCACTATCTGCATCTCTTTCTCTCCTTTTCTTTCTTTCTATCTGCCTATCTCTCTCTGCCACCTTCTCTCACTCTGTTTGTTCTGTTTTTGACCCCCCCCGCTATCCGCATCACTGTCCATCCCTCTTTTTCTCTTTCTTTTCCTCTCACTGTAACTGTTTTCTCTTTCTCGCTTTCTTTCTTTCCTTTTTCTATCTTTCTTTTGCTCTTTCCATCTGTCTTTCTCTCTCTCTGCCCTTTTCTGCTTCTTCCTCTCTCTCTGTCTCTCCTTCTCTCCCGCTCCATCTCACTCTCTCACTTTGTTTCTTTCTCCTTGTTTGTCTCCTCTTCCTACTTCCCCCTCCCCCCCCTCTCTCTCCCTCTCTCTCTCTCTCTCTCTCTCTCTCTGTCTCTCTCTCTCTCTCTCTCTCTGATGTTTAGCTGTATTTTTCAGAGACTAACTGACGTCCACAGTCGTAAAATCTTCGTCTCTGTTTACAGGTTTTTATAGAGATGTTATATATGATCTATAAATCAGATTAAACGTTCTGTAGCAGGGCTGCATGTGCGTTCAGAACAGAGGGCATTAATATAAAACTTTAGGCTGTAATATATGCTAATGAGCGCGCTCTGTATGCTAATCAGCGCGATAACGCCACTCCGCCCTACCTAAAAACACAATAACTCACTGAGCAAAAACCACAACCATCTGTAGGTTACAGTCTAACAGCTTGTGTTCTGGGAGCATCTCTCTCCCTCTCTCTCTCCCTCTCTGTCTCTATCTCTCTCTGTGTCTCTCTCTGTGTCTCTCTCTCTTTCCCTCTCCATCTCTCTCTCTCTCCCTCTCTCTCTCCCTCTCTGTCTCTTACTTTAGGAGTTTGAGTACAGATGGTCAGGAGTCGGGCTTGTTAGAGGGGAGACATCTGTTTTACTGTGTTTCAGAAGAGACAGAGCGATAGATAGAAGAGATAAAGAGAGAATGAAGAGATAGAGAAAGAGAAACATCAGTAATAAGGGAGTAAGAAAGACAGAGAGAAGGAAAAATGCAGAGAAAAGAGAAAAATCAGAGAGATAAAAGAGAGGGTAAAGAAAAATAGAGAGCAAGGAGAAAGAAAATGAGAGACTGAAGAGAAAAAGTGGGAACAAAGAGAGAGAGAGAGAAAGAAAGAGAGAGAGAGAGGGAGAGAGAGAGAGAGAGAGAGAGAAATATAAGTAATAAGTGAGTAAGAATGACAGAAATATAGAAAAAGGCAGCAAAAATGAGGGAGAAGAGAAAGAGAGAAATAGAAAGAGACAAAAGAGAGAAAGAGAAAAGAGAAAGCAAAAGCAGAGAGAAGGGAGAGAAAGAGAGAAAGACAGAAAGAGAAAGAAGAGAATGAAAAAAGAGATAGAAAAAGCAAGAGAGAGAAAGAAGATAGAAAGTGTGAGAAAGACAGAAAAAGATAAAGATGAGAAATAAAGAAAGAGATAGAGAGAGAGAGAGAGAGAGAGAGAGAGAGAGAGAGAGAGAGAGATACAGTATATACAGAATACATCAGAATATATTCTAGCAGCGCCAGCATGTCCGACAGTTGGCGCCTGAAAAAAATAAACCTTCATCATCCGCACTCACGTTGGCAGTTCCTCTCAACGACAGCGTCTCCATAGTAACCATCTGCACAGGTGTCGCAGGCCGGTCCTCCGTATCCGTCCCGGCAGCGCAGACACACACCTGTTACCGGGTCACAGCTCTGAGGAGCGGAGAGGTCCAGATTCCCATTACACTCACACGGCCTGCAGGAACCTCCGGGAACACCGGGGCGACCGAAATAACCATTACTACACCTGCAGAGAGAGAGAGAGAGAGAGAGAGACAGAGAGAGAGAGAGAGAGAGAGAGAGAGATTTAATCAGGAAAGTAAATTTGAAAAGAGTGTATTTATTTATTAATTTATTTCTCTATTTATGTACATTTTTATTTATTTATTTATTTATTTATTTATTTATTTATTTATTCATATACTTTCTATTTCTATACACTTAAAAAAAGCTGATTCTTCACAGGTTCTTTAATAAAAGGTTCTGTTTAGAACATTGAGTACTATGTAGAAACACTTCCGTGGTTCTTTGCGTGGTGAAACTGTTCTTCAAATTGATGGGGAATGTGTTGTGTGTGGTTCTGTAGAGCACCAAAAAGGGTTCTCCTATAGCTATGATGTCAAGCTTGTGACAATAGCAGAACCCTTTTTAGTGCTATATAGAACCATGTACAACACATTCTCCATCGATCTGAAGGAGAATTACACCATGCACAGAAGCATTTAGGTATGCGAATGGTTCTATGAGTATACATGGTTCTCTTTAGAACCTTTACTAAAGAACCCTTGAAGAACCTTCTTTATAAGGTTCACTTCAAACTGTTAATCCTATTGTTGTTATTTCTCAGTTCCAAATAAGTCCCTTTTGTAACTGATATCAACATTTTAAGGAATTTCTTAAAGGGCATTTAACATTTATCCTCTACTATAATTGATTTTTCTGATGTCCATTTTTGTGGTTTTGTGCATCAATTTTTTTTTTTTTGTGGTGCAGTCCCAAAGATTGTAACTGGGGAGGGGGTGAGCACACATTCTGCTGCAGTGCATGCTGGGAACTGTAGTGCAGCTCATGGGGAAATGGGCTAATATTAATGGAAAATTAAACAAATTTTGTGGGCTGAATAGGATTGTGCCACGGGCCTGACTTGGCCCACGAGCGTTGTGTTTGACACATGGGTTCTAGGAGAACATGAAAGCTGTGTCCCAATTCAGGGGCTGCGTCCTTCGGAGGCTGCATTCGAAGGCTGATTGCGTCACAATGGCGCGACTGTCCCATTTCAAAGGCTCCTTCATATGTGTAATTCTTTTCCATGGCAATGAAGGATCCAACAACGCCAGCCAACATATCCTGAGGTTCACTGCGTGCCGGTGAGGATTCGAGAACATGGCGGCGTCAGCAGAGGAGCGAACGGTGGCTGAGCACTTTAAATGTAAGCATTGGGTTTAAACTGAGTCGAATTGCGAACGATACAGATGTTAAAAAGCCGATGTGGTCAAAACTTATGCTGACGTTTCGTTTAGTTTTAGGGAGCATCTCCAGCTCTAATAAATGAAACAAAAAATAATAATAAAATCAAAGTTTCTCCATCTTTAAAGAACTTTAAAAGAACTTGAAAGTAGTGGCGTTTCATGGCTGCATGGGCGGGAACAGCGGTGCTGAGACAGGAAATCTGCCTGGCAGCGCAGACACACACACACACACACATACACACACACATATATATATATATATATATATATATATATATATATATATATATATATATATATATATATATATATATATATCCTGGTCTTAAACTCCTTACAAGAGCTTTGCCAATACAAGTGCTAATATTTGTCAGGCCAATAAAGCAACACTGAATTGAATTAAACTGTAGAGAGACATACATACAGAGAGAGAGAGACATACAGAGAGAGAAGGAGAGAGAGAGAGAGAGAGAGAGAGAGAGAGAGAGAGAGAGACATACAGAGAGAGAAGGAGAGAGAGAGGAGGCCGTCCCGTATTATTTTCAGAGTATTTTTTATCTCTGCTTTGTCCGCAAGATCAAACAGATCAAATCCATAACGATCTGAGGGTGGAATCTGAACTCCATCAGCGCTGTAATGTCTGTTTGATCAATATGACCCAGAGTCAGCGTGAAGAAATGAATAAACGACCCGCTGAGAGAACGTTATATAGCGGCCAGCCTGACGGGAACTCATCTCCGCGTCACTCTGCACTTCATTCCTCATTCACTGCACCGGGGCGACGTTCCGCTGGAGAACCGTTACAGCAGCGTTTCTTTCAGAGTTTTTAAATACTGAGAAAATACATCATCAACACAAGAGTGGGGAATTTCTAGAAATGATAGCGTATGTGTTCTAGATCTCATTAATGGTGTATGTGTTCTAGAACTGATTAATGAAGCATGAGATCTAGAACTGAAAAATACAGTGTGTTCTAGCACTAAGGTGCAAGTCTGATCTAGAAGTGGCTAATAGTGTGTGATCTAGATTTGACAAATGGAGTGTTTAATCTAGAACTGGCCAAGGTACTGCATTATTTAGAACTGACTAATGTAGTGTCTAATCTGGAACTGACTAATGTAGTGTCTAATCTGGAACTGACTAATGGAGTGTCTAATCTGGAACTGACTAATGGAGTGTGTGTTCTAGAACTGTAGAGGAACTCTGACGGCGTAATGGACTACTAACACAGTGTGTTCTTTAACCTCTCTCTGTCTGTGATTGGTTCTAATCACCACATTGTTTAAGACCTTCTACTGACTGTGATTGGTTCTAATCACTGTGCTGTTTGTTCTGAGACGACTTTGATTGGTTCTAATCACTGTGTCGCTTGTTCTGTGACCTCCCCCTCACTGTGATTGGTTCTAATCACCACATTGTTTTAAGATCTCTCTCTGTCTGTGATTGGTTCTAATCACCACATTGTTTTAAGATCTCTCTCTGTCCGTGATTGGTTCTAATCACTACATTGTTTTAAGATCTCTCTCTGTCTGTGATTGGTTCTAATCACCACATTGTTTTAAGATCTCTCTCTGTCC